TTGCAATTTGCAACAAAGTTAATGGGGAAGTGGACAGGAAATCGAAGCTATAATCACATGAGGTCCTCACTTAAATGACACACAGTGATTCACTTAATAAGGGCAAGTAGGGACTGTTGGAACTACCATAACTAAGCTGCATAGTCATGTAACAAATGAAACAAACAAAATGTTAAAAAGTTATATTTATGTAGTTACTTACCAAGCATCTCTAAATTATATTAAAATAACCAAAATATCTTTACAATCCCCAAGGCATGTCACAATGTTTGAGCACCCCTAATGTTTGGAAATTGAAAGTTGACAAATTTGACATGCCCTAAAATTGTAACAACACTTTACAGTTATTTAGTGACAGAAATTCCAGTTCCAATTACCATTGTTGAACAAGAAGTACCTCTAATTCTTACACAATATATTATTTACTGACTAATTAATTAAACTTGAAAACCTAATTCAATATTCCTTTTTCATTTAGATCTTTTCTGTCCTGTGTATATCATGTCACATTAATACTAGTTCTTCATTATTGTGGTCTCTTTGCAAAAGGCATAGGTGTTCTGCGTTTGCACTGAAATTCCATCTGGAACCTACTTTAACTGAGATTTTAGCAGGAAGTGAATCCATACAGTTCATGCTCCTAGGCCAAAGGTAAATAAAAATTGGTCCACCAATACCTCTCGGGGGGTCCAAAGCACTCCTAAGTGGTTAAACATAACCAGAACTAAAAAAAATTGCCTCCTCCCCTTCCCTTTTGGAATTTGGGGAAAGAACATCATTATTTAAATGGAGTAATAAGCTGCACTGATACAAGCAATTTCTTTTCAGAGAGAAGCAAATCAAATGTTGCTGTTACTGTGCTTTTTCTTTTCTATCTTGACATCACTAAATCAATGCTAGTGTCTAAGCCGACAAAAAAAAACCTTTGCTAAGGGATAAAACAGGCCCAAGTACCTCAGTATTGGCTGATCCTTTTTACCAATTCCACTTGCCACTGTAGATCATTCCAAGGGTACAAAACCTAGCTAAGATTGAAGTAGCCCTTTTGGATAAACTGATGTGGTCATCTGAACAAATCACCTAGTATAAACCTAACACAGCCATCTGTTCAAGATAACTATCAGTTGCATTCAGAGAGCCTAATCTCCAGAACCCCATCTGTCTTATTTTGTGGTATCAGCTGAATTAGATTTATTTCATAGAAACTCCATTATTATTTTTGTATGTTGCCTATGCTCAAAGCCCCTGGTCGCACAGCCAGCTTTTCAGGCTGACACTCTGAAATGTTTGTTCATCTGAAACTGACATACATAGGACAATACCAGTCCTATCAGACTTTTTTCCATTTAGCTAAGGATTTGTAGCAAATCCAGCTTTCAATGAAATAGAGTTGGATTCCAAGCAATCAAGCACGCTGAGTTTTCTCTTGGAGAAAATAGCTTCTTTTCTCTCTTATTTAGCATATCACAAAAAGGAGCTAGGTATCATTTTACTCTCTGAGGCTTTGCAACTTTCTGAACAACAAATAAGTATTGATAAGTACTGCACGTCTTGACTGCACCTCTACATTCCTGATAGAGATCATTCAATTTTGAACCTGTACTTGACTATCAGAGTTTTCACAGGAGGTTCAAAACTGACTAGAAGGGCTACTCTGCCAGGACACAGACAGCAGATTACAAAGGATTTTAAAACATTGCTAGTGGATAGGTATAGATCCAATTAACTCTTCATCCGCTTCTCAGTTTCACCTTTGGTACTGTGTGCTACACAGTAGGGTCACACAGACTTTGGTGGCATATTGTGAGAGCAATATAGAAGCATTGGGGTGCCCCAAGATGTATCTTTTAACACAGTGATTATATCAGATGACCCTCTCTTTCATTTCAGGCTCCCTCACTTTCTAAAGCCTTACAAGGTATTACATTGGATATTTCACTATTGACTAGAGTGACTGTAATTATCCAACAGCAGGGACCACACAAAGATGTTTGTCACACTTTCTGCCAGTCCAACGATGCTGATTGTTCTCTTGTAGGAAAATCAAGCCTGTTCTACCATCCCATCTAAGACTAATTTTTATTACTGGATAGCAAAGCCGAACAGAGAGAAACAATTAATACTACATCTTTATTGTCTCCAGATAAATGCAAGGTTTGAAATTTAGGCAAATGAGTTTGTAAAACAACTTTCTCCTTTCCTATCTAAGGGATTTATTTGCATTGTAGATCATGGATATAATAAAGATGTTTACTTCCATCTAGTCTTTCACTCATACTGCTAGAAGTATCTGCTTTACACTGCGGAGCATGTCTCTCCAGTTTCAGTTGCTCTCCAGCAAATGCAGAGTAATAGCATATCTACACCACTTGGGCATTCAAATTTACATTGATCACTGGTTTATACCTTCATCATCTCATCTATTATTAAACAAACAAACAGGTCCAATGTACTCAGTGAAAATAGAAAGTTTAATTTGACAGTATATATTGGCATTCAGTTGGATTTTCCAGTAGTATGAACTCTCTAGACTCATCACTAAGGCATTTTTCTTTTATCTTTCACCCATAGTCAACATTCTCAGATTTGGCTTGTGCTATTCAGTGCTTACTCTGATTCATGGTATCAACCATATTGGTTGAATAACATACTAGACTTCAGAAGCAAATACTGAGAAGGTTTGTGCATTGTTTTTTAAAGTGAAGTATCTGTTCTATAGTGATGAAAGCCCCCTCCCAAATGTCAGAGCACAAAGTTCAGTTGATAGGGAAACATCTGCAATAAACTATTTACAATAGCTCTGAATGTTCACTGTGATTGCTGTTGTAGTCAAGAGAAAATGACTCTTTCTAGCGATGGGATGAAATCTTACCCTTATTGAATTCTAAAGATCATCACGTTTATCTTTTGATGTACTCTGGCTTTTGTTTCTTTCTCTATTGAATTTATTTCAGGGTCTCTATCTTCAACTCCTAGAGTTGCATATTCTCTTAATTTTGAATATAGGAAGATGCATGATTCCTGTGTTTGTTATCTTCATTTGGGAGTCTTCCATGAATAAGACTTCTTAAAAGGATGTGATGGAATTTCTTGTAAACATATTATGACTTCTTACATGTCAGAAACAGCCTAATGTTTCATCTTATGTCTCCCTGACAGTCAGTGTCATGATGGAATCTTTCCATCATGCACTCCTAACTCACAAGGAAGCCATTCAGCCATTGGCCACCATAAATCCATATCTCCTTAAATTAGGTTTTTTTGTAATGATTATGGTAGCTTACTCATGAGTTGTATGTTCTTAAAGCAGATTCCCTCCATTTCTGTAATTACATCTTGATCAGATGATACTACAAATGGACTGAATTTTCTTTTCCAAAGGTGAGTTGGAATTACCTTTTAAATAAGCTATTAATGCACTCTTATTGCAATCTTCTCTCCATCCCAAGAGCATTCTTCTTTCACAGGATGTGCAGTGATCTATGACATTTTGTTTAGGCAACATCAAGTTCCATTCTTTTCTGCCTTTAAAATTTTCTTTACGATATTATGCAATCTGGTATAAACCTATCATCACTTTATATTATTGGTTGGCTTATCTCATCCCATCTTCTGCTTCTCTATGGTATGAGAAATGCCAGTACCAATTTATAGAGTTCTTGTTTGTGGGATTGGGTTGGACCTCTATAAAGAGACTATTTGGTCCAACCAGTTGACATTTGTAAGATGCTACCAAGTAGACTTTTGACAAGAGTAAATGCTAGTTGTGGCAGAGCAGAATTATCCTCTGTACTTTCTTAACTTAGCACTTGACCCACAGCCTTCAAGATTCTCTTACTTATTATCCATATATGTGGTGCCCAGAGTCCATAATGAAGAATAGATTGCTTAACTGTAACTATAGTTCTTTGTCTTGTCATCCATGCCACAATTTACTGAGCCACAATTTTCCTTGCTACAGGTGCCTGCCTTGGTAGGTATTCCTGATTTCTGAACTGAAATGACAGTCTCTTGAGAACTGAGGGGAATGCAGGAGTTTCTTCTAGGAGCATGCACAGTAGGGATACACTTTCTGCCAGAAATCCCACCTACAGAAGATTTCTGGTTGAGCTTGGTGCAGGCACAGAACCTATTTATTTGTTGGACAGATGATTACTCAAACAACCATAGTTACAGGTAAGCAGCTAAGATTCATGTCACCATTCGTTTTTATAGTTGGTTTTTGAATGTTTGGTGAAAAATGGACAAAAAGATATTTTCATAAGCATCCTGTATTCCTTTTGCCAAAATTCACACGAGTGTTTGTATGTGTGTCTCTGTGTGTGTGTCATTGCCAATTAGGATCCCATGAAAAATTTTGAAGTTTTCAGGTTGTTTTTATTGTCATTTATAAAATAGTTATTTAGTATTTTAAATAATATGGAAATAATATATAACAGGGAAGATGAAAAAGTAAATAGAGAACAGAATGAGGAAAAAGTTTGGGAGAAAAAAAAGATAAAATAATAACAAAAAATACTAAAAGCAGAAAGCAGAGTCGCTGTACTGATAATACAGTACTTAACTGCAATTTATTGTATAAGCTACAAATATTTGGATTTACTGTATATACCACACATTAAATCATACCGCAAATTATATAAAGTTCAACGATGGAATTCATGCAACAACTTAAGCAAAAGCATACAAACTATTCAATCCCTTTTCAGAGAGTTATAATATTTATATTTTAACATGATAAAGGAGAAGGAGTTGTTTTTTTGCTCAGCTACTGGAAATCAGAAATTATATAAAGGAGCAAACTTAATCAGATTCCACAGTCGACTAAACATGAAGCACTCTGAATTCCATGACTTCAATGCAAGAAATGTTGGTTATGTCCAGAGTTTGTTGGTACTGATGAGTCTTCAGAGTGAATATATATATGGTTAGATGGTGCTTGATTTTATCATGTTCTGCACATACTTATAATGTGTTCATAGTATAAATATCCTACTCACTCTTTATATTCAATGAATCTGCCTCTTTTTTTATCCAGGTCAAGGATTTGATCGCCACTTATTTGCTTTGAAGTACCTTGTCCAGCGCAGAGGTGGAACTATTCCTGATATTTATAAAGATCCAGCCTATAAAAACATAAACCACATTAACATTTCAACCAGTACCCTAAGCACTCCAGCAGTTAATCATGGTGGATTTGGACCAGTAGTGCCAGATGGTTTTGGGGTTGGATATAATGTGTTTGATACCTGGGTAGGATGCCTCATTACTAGCTATTTGGAACAGGAATTAGATGAACATCTGACATGTCTTCGGTGCACATTAGATGATATATTTGAAGTCTTAGAAGAAAGACAACTTAAATAGTATTAAAATATTTTGAATTGACTACATAACGATTCAAAAACAGCTTATATTTAAATAATGCATATATTACTATGAAGGGTAATAGTAGATTAAGTAGCACAACTAAGCTGTTCAAAATGTACACTTTAAATCTTAAAGCAGTTTAAATGACATAATACTTAAATCTTTGTTCTCCATTATATTCTGTAACTTCTCTCTTTTTTAAAAAAATTAAAAATATACCAATATTTTCAATTAATTTTACTGATTTTCTGGAGCTCTACATGCCTAATAAATCAACATTTGCTGAAGAGTATAAAATGTTGAAATTCCAAAAACCGGCAAAAGTAAACTGCTATGTAAATTATTTATTAGAGGTATTTTTATTTGATAAAGCCAATGCACAATGGATTTTTTTTTTAAAAAATGTTGAGGTGGTATTTCATGACATGGAAAGCTGTGCAAATATGTTTTGTCATGTGAAAAGAGGATATTAAAATAAAGTGATTTTTCCCTTTTATATTTGTTTGCTGAAATTACTTCATCTAAATGAGAATAATCAGATATAGTGTTGGTGTATTGTATAATGCAGTGTGCTATACCAGTCATTAATAATGAGGGCGATCTGGCTGCGACATCTGTGACCCCATTGATCGCCAGGGTTGATTCAGCTGATCTGGCTGGCTAGGCGGGTGTCCCCTTCCTCCCTCACCGCTCCATGTGCGTCCCTCCCGAAGGTGCGCGCTCGGTGGAAGAGGACGACCATCCCAGATAGAAGGAGTGTACCGATCTTCAGTCAAGGGTATACGATAGCTGCGCTCCCCTGCTAGAACCTCCAAACAAGCTCAATGAGTGTTATTTTTGTAACATTGAGAATCTCCATAGATACTGCTTTTTTTTATTTGCTCTTCAGTTGTAAGATATTTAATGTATAACTCTGAATCATGAGTTTTTCAACTATATATTTCTCTGAAAATAACATGTATTTCAAACTTTTATTACAATATTATTAGTTATTACAATTACTAATCTGCACATAATGTAATGCTTGAGAGTCTGTAATCTCATGTGAAGACAATCACAATTAGAGGATACAAGGGAGAAATTTAGGAAAGAGAATTAATTATGAAAAATATTTGGGGGGATTCTAAAATCGAAATACTTTTATATGAAATGAGATGGAAATCAGGAAATCTTGAGTCCTGATCTTGAGAAATCTTGAAAAATAGAGGCTTGCATTTTAAAATTCAAGAGTATGAAATGTGGAACATTTTATTCATTCTGAATTTTGTATAACCCAGAAATCTTGTGTGTGTCCCCCACCCACCCATCCCCATTGGTTTTAAATTTTGGGTTTGAGTCTGCTAATGATTATAAATCTGCTGAGGTTGTCCCAGTTTTCAGGTTATCTCATACATTCCTTCATTCTCATACATTCCTTCATTCCAGTATATTGGAACTATTTGAAAGTCCTGTCTGTTAAAATGAGGCTAATTTGGTATACATGAGACACACTGATTGCCCCAGGCTGTATGTGTTTGAGAGCTACATTATGTTCTCATAAAGGTCTCCTACCTTGAAGGTAGAGATATGCATATGTATGGGATGCTGTCATTTGTGGCTTGAACCATCCGTTTGATTGGAAGATACCATCCTCTAACTTAAGTACTGGTAGAAAGGATTTTAAAAAATGGCTCTTAGGCCAATTGGCTGGATATCTGGGGAGATTGTCAGGAAATTTGCTGGACAAGGTATGAAGTCTAAGAATATTTTCATCTTAATTTTTCAAACATTTAAAAGAAATCCAGCTTCTACCAAATATGAACATTCACATATACATAACTGTTGAATTTGGCTAAGATAACCAAACTTGAAGAGAAATGTCATTGAGCGAAAAATTTCAGTAAACTGCCTATGCATTTAGAAATATGTGAGAGATGGGCTAAATTCCCATATTTTTCCTTACAGAAATTTCTGAAATCTCAGTGCCTCCAGTTGTCCCCGCAATTTCAGTCAACAGTAAAGGAAGTTAGCAATGAAGGTCCATAGTCCTGCCAAATTATTAACCTCTTGGAAACAGTTAGGAGGCAGATCTGATCAAGCTGGCTAAAAATTGACTATAAATAAAGTTTACATATATAAGAAGTTGCCCTTAAGCCATACCACCATTTAGCTAACTCTTGATGGCAACAGGTTTTTGATTTCTCCAAATTACTGCTGTCAAGATCCTTAAAAGAGAGATCAGGAGAATCATAGAATCATAAGGTTGGAGGGGTCCTTCTAATCCAACCCCCCAAAATGGGAATAGACTTTCCTGGGACTGAACCACTGTACAATGCAGAAAAAAAGGAAAGGAATATTGATACTGGGCATAGTCACCACATAGTTCAGAATGGATCCTGTGTTCATGAATGGAACCTAAGAAAATCTGAAGGGCATTTTAGTTTCCAATGGTAGTTTAGCAAAATAACATGGATTCCCCACTATAGTAGTCAAATATTGATTGAGACCAACTCAGTCCTTAGCCTGGCTATTACATCTCATTTAACTCATTTTTTAAACAAATATGCAACACTTCATATTTGAAATATAATTTTGAAGTTCAGGATTTTATTATTTTAATTATTGTATTTCAATTCAGCTGGGGTTATACAGAGAGCCATCTTGGAAATTATAGATGAGATTAGGGACGAATTTCCAAATCTATTGAGGCTGACACGTTCAAACCAGGTAATATTTCTTAATTACTGCATTTCCTTGCTATCTGAATGTTCAAACATTTCCATAAGGTGCTTTGTTACATTGTATTTACTTTCCATTTTGCAAAGTCTCAGCTTACATTATGAAAAATTGACTGTATGACAATAAAGATATTCAGTTCACTAATACTGCATACTTATATATGACATAATTTAACTTTCTTTTGTATGAGTAAGCTTAAATTACAGTGTCATATAAGAAATAAGTATGATTAAAAGCAACAAAAAGAATATTTTAATTATTCACTGATGCAGGTATCCATGTTGTACCTATATAATACTAAAAATGTACATATACTAATTTATACTAGAATAAAGGTGATCTTGAATTTATCTCTGTCGCAGTGGCCAACTTGTAAAATAGTTTGCAGAAGAGATAGAAATGAGGGAAGTAGGTAATTGTCTCCTTACTCTCCCCTATCTCCTTGCAACATTTTTTATCAGTCATGTTGGTTTGGATGGTTGCTGCAACTATTTTGTTTTAACAGAACAGAATGGATGGGGTTATTTTTTATTATGAACCTCCTGTGAAATAAAAATCTTGGCAACTGTTGACCAATTTTCACTAAGCAATGATCATGCTGGCTCAAGATGAGAAGATCTATGCAAAAGTATGTGGCAGGGAATCAAGTTGGAGAATGAAGTTTTAGCAAATGACAATATTTACTGTATTTTACAACTGTGCAACACTGTTGTGAAATTGCTTTCATTTTCCTAAAACAATATGATAATGTAATAGCATACAACGCTGAGTATAACAGGCACATTGTATTGAGCCACCAACATTGGGCCACCAGCTAGCCAACCAAACTTTAGGCTTAAACGTCTGCAAACTCTTTGATCACTTTATGGTTCCGTATGTTGTTCAAATCAAGAAACTGGTTTGGACAACCCACAGTTAGCTGTAGTTAGGCAGGTAACAAAAAGAGAGTTGCTCAATTGCAAGGGTGAAAGCTATAGTTACAAGTAGATACATTTTAGTCATGCCTTCCATCTTGCTCTGAAGACCCTATTATTCCAGCAAGCTGGTCTGACGGGATAAAGGATTTTAAATTGGGTTTTGGTAGGGGTTTTAAAATGATTTTAGTTGGGTGTTTCAAATTCGGCCAATGATTGAATTATTTTAATTAAGTTTTAAAATTTTTGTTGTATATTGTTTTTACCATGGCTGTTCATTGCCCTGAGTCCTTCGGGAGAAGGGCGGTATATAAATATAATAAACTAAACTAAACTAAACTAAACTAAAATATCTATTTTAACTTGTAAAGTTTAACTAATGATGTTAGTCATACAATGGAAGGATACAGCCCCATATAAAGAATATCATAACAATGTTTGTCCACCATAAAAGCATTGCCAAAACCCAAGTGCAGGAGAGATTGTAAATTTGGAGCTACCAGATCTGGGCCGCAAAGATCCACAGAATCACTAAATGTCAATAAAAATAAACTCCTAACTGAAGATGTTGCCTAGTTGGGTAATGAAATGTCTGCAAGCAAACAACTAAGCTTAGAAAGTATCAGGAACTGCACAAACTCCTAACCCTTTGCTGCCATCTAGCCTTTTGCACCTCCAGTCTGGTATATCTACCCAATGACTTCTAAAATAAAATTGAAGTAATGCAGACATGTCAACATTTGAAGATTGTTAGTTTTCTTGAAAATAGGAGATTCATCTGAAGACTACAAATCTTTTGTTTTGGATATATCAGGATGTTTTTGTTTTAAAGTTGTGATGTTGTGCTGACACTGAAGCAAGGGCTTTAGATATGACTTTTGCAAAAACTTCCTCTTACAGACTCCTTTGATTCCTCAGACATTTGTCTGCAAAACAGGTGAGCCTCAGAAGCAGTGTGCTGTGAGGGGGATTATACAAAAATCATCTCCTTCTCCTCCTCCTCCTCCTTTCACAGAACAAGCCCTTCTTTCCATAGAATAGTCAGCCTATGCTGGAATGTAGTCTGGATTCCCACGAAGGAGGGGCTGCATTCCAGAGGACCAAGACACAACAAAATTTAGATAGTTTGATTGGGAGAAAGAGAGTAGAGATTGCTTCTCCTTAGAACTTATCAGAGTATATCTGTAGTGATTTAAGTAGTTGCTTTAGTTTGGAAAAAAATCTGCCTATAGGCAAGGGTGAGCTTCAAAAATTTTAGCAAGGGGTTCTCTGCCCAGTTGCTGGGTGGGCGTGGCCATGGTGGGTGTGACCTAGTCAGCTTCCTGAGGCTTTCCTTGAGCCTCCAGGAGGGTGAAAACGGCCTCCTCAGGTTCCAGAGGCCCTCTAGATGACCTTCCCAAACTTCCGGTAGTCCTGTTTTTCGCCCTTCCCAAGCCTCCTGTGTGCATCCTGCACTTCCCTGCATCCAAAACAGACCGCGTGGGGACTCCTGGGAGGGGAGGGGTGGGCGGGGTCAGCCAGAAGTGGGATTTGGGGGTTCTACAAACTGCACAGAATCTTAGCTAGAGGTTCTCCCGAACCCCTGCGAACCCCCAGCAGTGAACCCCTGCCTATAAGTAAGGAACAATATTTCCCCATAGAGGAAACTGCTTAGAAGGATCTCTGCTTGTCTTTATTTGTGGGGGGGGAGGGGGGGCTGACATAGCCTGGATTCCACCATTTATATATATTAAAGGCAAATCAAACAACTTCTGAAAATGGCAAATCAAATCACTTCTGAAACTTCATGCAATTTGGTGACAAATTGCATGAAGTTGCCTAGGCAGTTGCCCGAGTCAAAACTGACTTGAAGGCATAAATAAATAAAGTTTCCAAATACAATACAAATACATATCAAAAATATTGTAATAACAAAAGATACTATTGGATAAGAGATTCCTTTCTATGCAACAATAATTGATATTTGAACAGCCTTTGGAAGACAAAAATTACTATTTTACAACAGTAAATTGTTGTACTGTTACAGTACATTGGTGTTGAAGCATTCTCTAGCAATAGGTTGAAATTTGGAAAATGAAGAGTAGCATTTTCTAATATTTTACCTTTTGATTCTCATTTTGAAGGCAAGGAGAAGGTTTAACTTAATTAACAAGGTCTGGTCTCAATTTTTCTACATGTTGGAATATCACACTATTTGGAGCTTACCAATGTTGGATTTTTAAAATAATCAGTCCCATAGATTTCTCACTTTCAGATCTAGAATCCTTTCTCATGTTTCTCAAGGGAACACTGTATTATCTTATGTCCTCAAAAATGCTGGGATTGTAGCCACACATCATTTAAATCCCCCCTCCCCAAGCTCTTATATACGAAGCAAGGTTGAGCAGAAATATTTGAGAAAGGTTTATGCATTGCACTTATAATTGCTATAAAAGAAAATTGGAAGTCACTTTTTTATAATTTTTTTTCCTTTTTAAAAATTTCTGCACCTTTGTCTTTGCTCTTTTTCTTTCTTTCATTTCTTCCCTTCTTCGTTTGAAATATTAGTTCTTGTTAGATTTTATTCTATATTAAAAAAATTAATTAAAAATATTTTTCAAAATACTCCCAATTTTTTTTAAAGAAAACCTTTCAGGCAGTGCACTCATCAAATTTATTGAAAGGTGGGACTGATTTATGAATCACTAGAACATGAATTATTAATATGATTTCAATAGATATGCTTGGCTTGCATACACTGCTTTAATTTTTTAATGGTTTATATTATATTTTTATTCAGAGACAAAAAGATTTATACTTTTATGAATGTATAATTCGTACCTGTACTTTCACATCATTTTTAACAGTTTCACGTGCATTACTACATTCACAATCTGAAGAGCCACTCACCTTTCTGGAGGACTGGACATACAACTTGGTATATTCAATTAGATCCTCAATTTAAAAGTGGGCCAGAACAATTTTTTTCTTAATTATTGTTTTTCTTCCCTGAGCTACCATCTGTATCCCTCTTCTGTTTTGTTTTTTAATTAGTTCAATGGTGACCTGTTTCATCATACTTGCTGCCACCAGAGGCTGCAGGGATTCACCTCAGCTCCCAAGTAGCCCAAATGGATAAGCACAGCACTGATACCTGAGTTTACACAATAGATCAAATAAATTATTTTACTAAATAAATAAGAGATTCAACATTCCACCAACAATCTAACCTTCAAAAAAAAAAAAAATGATCCTATGAAAAAAGTGGGTAGTTTGTGGGGGGGATGTAAATGAAGTTGAGGTGGCAAGTTTCAAACCTGCTACTTGCACAAGTCTGTTGGCCAAACCATGAACTGCCCCCTCCCTCTACCCCCAAATGCTGAATTTGTTTTTCCCTGGTGGGAAGTAACCTATTTATAACACAAGGTGGTAAATTGCAACCTTTTTATTCTGTACAGCGCAAAGAGTTGTGCTCTTGGGACTAAATCACAATTTAGCATAGCTTTTATGCACCTTTGGAAAACAAAGGCACATGATCGTTAGCAAGCAATAGGCAATGAGGGACAAAGTATTCACAGCCCTGCTAGAGAATGGCCCTCCCAGAAATGGATTCATTACTAAAATATTATAGCCCTTGTCCTTCTGTTCCTAACTGATAAGGCTGGTAATTAAGTATGCAAACTAATTTATATGCGACAGCCAGGATAGGGGAAGTTAACTCTGACTCAATTGCTGGCTTCGTACAAATATCATGATAAGGGTATCATGTAGTCTTCCAGGAATTTAGGGCAAGGCTGTGATAAGAGGCCCAAAGAGAAAAGTGTCTAAGGGCAGAAGTGAGTAAAATGAAGGCTTTTGGGTTTTGTTTTTTTTTAACAAACTGGAGTTTCTCTGGCTAAAACTAGCTAGATCAGTCCCACATGCAGGATAAGACATGCAAGCAGGCTAACCACTATGCTGTTGAAGCAGAAGTAGAGCAATATAGGCAGCAGAGTCAAGACACTCTCCTAGAAAAGGACGAGAAAAGAAGTTTTACTTTAAAGCAGGTTGTCCTGAGTGCATATGACCCTTATTTGTTTCTAAAAATGAAGTAAAAGTAATAAATCCAGGCAAAGGTTTTTTCTTTGACAAAGTATTACCTTACAGCATAAGCAAGAGCTATATTCGTAATCAGATCTGACGTGACACAGAGAACCAGGTCAGGGGTGGGTTGTACTAACCTTTGCTACTGGTTTGCAACAGGGCCATGCACATGTGCAGAAGCTTCCTGATGACGTCGGGGTCGGTGGGCAGAGCAACCCACCAGTTTTACTACCGGTTCTTGTGAACTGGTCCGAACTGGGGGCAACCTACGACTGAACCAGGTTTTGTGAACTTGTCCCCTTTAGAGAAGTCAATGGTTCAGCGGTTCAATGTAATAAACCCTAAGAAGGTTCCTTCTGAGCAGGGTTCAGCAGCCCAAGATGAAATGGGCCTGGTGGCTCAGCAGATTAAAAGCATTGTGATTAACACCAGCTGTCTGCAATTACTGTAAGTTCGAATCTCACCAGGCTCAAGGTTGACTCAGCCTTCCATCCTTTCTAAGGTAGGTTAAATGAGGACCCAGTTTGTGGGGCCAATAAGCAGACTTTGTATAAATATACAAAAGTATGAAGGCTATTGCTTTAATGCATTGTAAGCTGCCCTGAGTCTCCGGAGAAGGGTGGCATATAAATCAAATTTTTAAAAAAATGGCTATGGAAAACAAAGACCAACAGGAAGGGACTGTTCCTACCACAATAAATATTACCCGATCAGAGAGGCTTCTGCTTTCAATGCCGCCAAGTGCAGTGGATAAACCAATTGTTATCCCTTCTTCTGTCAGGAAGATACCTTTTGCAGCCTAGGGGTGAGTTTAGGAAGAGATTCTATATTACAGTCCTCTAGAAAGTTGAGTGGCTCATGTTTGCACTAGCACAACAGGAAGTGTGGATTTGTCCCCAGGCTTCCAACTGTGTATTATTTATGTATAGATGGGGAATAAAATGTTAACAGGCAATCCTTTGTAAAAAATTTAAGTAAACATGGCCCTTTTCATCCCCCATTTCCAGTTCCATTTCCCCCTCTCTACTCTATTGCCAACTATTCTCCATGGATGTTTTACTGTTTATTTTTTAGCATTGACCACTCCCTCCCAAACAACAAAATTTGGTGTATCTGTTTTTCTAAAATGTGCTGTCATTTCCCTCCTGGTTTTCAGTGGATGAACATGGGGTACACTTCTGAACTGCACTAATAATCTTGACAGCATTTAGTGGATGAACAATAAATAAATTCATGCTTAGTCTGCAACCTCTTATTTAATACAGTTTATTCTGCTTTTCAGTGATAATCCTACATAAAAAGGGTAACAAGATTACTAGAAATGGTGATCCTATTCAATTGAAATAATAACTGACATTATAAATAGAATAAAGCTTTTTGGAATTGTAATATTAGAATATAATAATTAGAATGTAATATTAGAAATATAAAGTACTTCTTTATAAGCAGACTGTTTTAGTACCAAATTTTATTGTTTTGAATGGAATTGTTATTATTATATCTTTATACAGTATCTTTATCCTCCCTATTAGGGTGTGGGTACGTATGCAAATATAGTCAACACATAGGCATGTAACTGCATGTTAACTATCTTTCATACAACAAATTAACTATTTTGTTCTAAATCTAAAAGCTTTTTTATTTCTGTTTCAGGAGACAGATCGCAGGGTGCAGAAATCTGAATCAGTTATCACCAGGGCATTCTATTCAGCTCATGGAGCAATCATTATGAATGGGCTAACTACACTATCACGGTCTTCAAACTCAATTGCAAAAGTCTTACAGCCACAGCTTGCTAGAAAATTAACAGAGCTAAATATCTTATCACGACGCCTTTTGATAACATCAAATACTCCCAAACAGCCTTTGTATAGGATGAAAGTAGGTAAATTCAGCTATCCCTCACAACTTAAGTAAGTTCTGTTCTGAAAGTGCTAAGCAACAGTTTAGCCCTAAAGATTTAGCTTAGCATGTGTCAACCCAGCCAGTGGTTGGATTCAAATAATTTAACAACCGGTTCTCTGCCCTAATGATTTCTTCCAACAATCAGTTCACCAAACTGCTCAGAAAGTTAACAACTGGTTCTCCCGAAGTGGTGCGAACTGGCTGAATCCCACCACTGAACCCAGCCCTTACAGTTTATAAATCATCTTTTACGATCTAGATTGCCATGACAGACTCTGAGTTAAGTAGACCTATATTTTTTAAAAATTGCTTTCATCTCAAAATTATATGGGGGACAGATATCTTGCCCCAATTTAGTTACTTCATCACTACATTCACACAATGCAGGCAATCCTTGCTTAATGACAATTGGGACCAGCAACCACCATTGCTAAGTGACATATTTGTTACATTAAATATCATGTGACCATGCTGCAATTAACATCACTCTGGCCGCCATCATTAAGCAAATAATCTATGGTCATTAGGGGAGACATCATATAATTGCGACTTGTGATTTTATCGCCAGCTTCTCCATTAACTCTGTTTCTTAGAAATCAGCTGTGAAGTGCAAAAATGACCACCGTGTGAGTGCGGGGATGCTGTGATAATCATAAGTGCAAGTTACTTTTTCAGTGCGGTCGTAATTTAGAAGAGTCATTAAACAGGACAGTTGTTAAGCAAGGACTATGGCATGCTAAACCCCTGATTGCTAATTAATGGCCTACTGACTTGAATTCACTTGGTATATAAGCTGAACAACTTGTTAAATCACTAAAAAGTGATTCCCAGTGAATCAGTTAACTGCATTGTCTTAGTCAGATAAAACTCCAAGTCTATTTTCTCCTGGCTCTATCCATCTTTATTTCTCTACTAGGAAGAGAAAAAAAATAGATGAAAGAGTTGCACCATGTCCTTTAATTAGTAATACCAGGAATTCAGTATGGAAGCCCCCTTGATATAAAAAAACAGCTTCATATGTTGTCTAACAGTTTGTTACACTATTAAGGAATAATAGCTTAATTCTTCTACTGAAAACTGTGGGATTTAAAATTGAAATGATCACACCCACTATATTATAAAATGGATGAATGATTTTTTTTTCTCTCTGTTTTCTCTCTTCAGGACAAGAAAGTCTTCTTTTATGATATCATTTCCTACCCAGCAAAGGCTGCCCTTACCAGCTTAATGTGTGCTTCTTATGCAGCACTAATTTTTCTGGTGGGTTAATAAACAAGTGTTACTCCAGCTTTTCTCATACAAAATAGCATCTTATTCTCAACAAGTAGACTCAGTCAATAATTATAGAATCTTAGCAATTGACCTCATATCTCATTTACCAATGAGAAAAAAAAATAAGTTCAAACATCACATTAAGCCACAAAATGGTTTGGTTATAACTTAGATGTGTTTAGTGAACTGTGAATAGTAAGCCTCACTTTATGACTAATGTGTTTGGCAAATACAACCAACTATAGACTATCACACATGCCATGATTATACTATAAACCATGATTACAAATGTCTTAGCTTGATGAAGGAAATGTCAGGAGCAAACATCAGGGCCATACGTTAAGTTGCAGTACAGAAGATTTATTTCTCAAGCCTGTAAATGAGAATCTAGTCAATTAGCGTTCAACACTAAATCGGCACCAGATAAGGGTCAACCGATTCAAGAGGCATTGGATTTAGACCTTTGTGGGACTGTAACAATTTTAGACTGATAACTTGCTTAATTCTGTCCCCAGCTCTATCTGCTTTTCTATAAGAACCCAGCCAATATACTTGTAGCTTTTATGTCTTAGCCTAACAATGGGTAAGAATGAATAAAACAATTATAGCAGTACGTCTTAAGAAATGTTAAGATACAGCCCAAACTTCTTTCAAGGTTCTGGTTGCAGTAATAAATATTAATTTCATTTTTTAAATTTTTCATATTATATTATTACATTTATACTCTGCTCCATGTGGGTTACAAAGGCAGCTTTTAAAATATAAAATGTGGCAGCCAAATTTTAATTAAAATTAAATCAATTAAAATCAAGAGTTAAAACTTGGGTGAAAAAAGTTCATTGATTTAACACTAGAACTGACCAAGAATAGAATTGTTTGCAGATTATTACCAATTTATATTACAGTCATTAAAATGACACAGAACATTAATTTGATTTGAATAATATATCAACTTTCTAACAATTACACTGAAGGTAGCTAACATCAGAACAAAACAAACGAATAGGTTCACACAACAGTACTACAGCCTAAACTAAGTTGGTTTTTCTGATCCAGAATTTCAGCTAGTCCTGGATTTGACTGATCCCCTAGTATATAAATTTCCTTGGTGATTCTACAAAGAAGTGGAGGCTATAATAACAATAGAGTTGTTCCATCTATTCAACTTTTTCATTCCTTCTCGTTGTAGGCTTGAAGAAGGAAAAAGAGGATGGGGGAGGCAAAACCACCATTATCCTCATCAATAATGCCTCTAAACTTGATCAGGCCACTGCATTTTTTAAATGCATTTTTTGAGCTGTGAATGGAAAAAGAAGGAAGTGACAGCCAAATGGTTACCACAGATGATGGTAATCTGGTATAAATCAAAAAAGTCAAGGTGGCAGCCACAACCACATAATTAAAGACTATCCTTTTTTCAAGATGCACATCACCCATTTTGATGCTTTGACTCCCCCTTGTTCAAGGGAGAACAGTTTCCGTTCAGTTGAGTTTTCAGTTCTATGGCACCCGATCACCAGGCTAGAGATAGATGTCAACCTCCCCTACTTATTTCTGTCATAACTTTACCTTTCCAGCTATTTATTATTTTGCTGTAATTAATGCCCAGTGTCACCTTATGGGAGAGATGAGCAGCATATAAATTTAATAAATAAAATTAATACAGTCCAGACAGTACTAAAACTACAGGGCAACACACTCTCCTTAAATTAGGAAAAAATGTACTATGTCAGATTCTCTAAAGTTAATTAAACAAAAGTATCTCTTTCTATGTGAACAGGCAGTCTCCATTAACAAATTGCTGGCAAAAATAAAAGGCATCATTCAAACAGAAGACACTTCTAGGGAAAGCAGCAGTGAAGATGTGGATGAAAATGGATTGTCCAAAGCCCCTGAAGCAACTTCCCCACTTCCACAAGACTCTTCAATATTTCCTATTAAAGCACCACAAAATAGTGGAAGCATCCATACTCTGCTTGCAGCAATGGATCAAGAAAGCGAACAATAACGGTTCTTTTTACATAAAAATAGGCCCAGCTTTGACTTTTCAGCCTACATCCACATTGTTTTATTAAATACACAAATATATGAACATGATTCTCATTTTCCATTCAAGAAATGCCAAGTTTTTATATGCTTTGAAGCTACACAAAGCATACGGAAGATACATTTTGCAAAGGCAGAACTCCAAATGAAGCATCTTTTTCCAAGCTGATAATAAAGCCAATGCAACTTTTGTGAGCCCTGGCTTGACTGCTTTAGAAGCTGCCTGATGGAGGAAAAAAAAATGATTTATGAATAAATGACCTATTAGGTCGCAGATAAAAGTTTTATCTCAAAACAGAGAAAATATTAAATAAAAAGGTACATTAAAAATTGAAAAAATAATCACATTACTTGGGCAAGAAAAATTGACTTTAAAATGTTTTTATAACATCCATGGATTAGTCAGAAAACAAAAACCAAGTTAAAGTTAAAAAGTGGAGTATTTATAACAAGTTGATCATTAGAAAACCATTTGGGAAATGCTGATGTTTCTTTTAGTTGACTCTTGTCCAGAAAGCTCGTAATTTCAGGGTTTTTTTGCCTCTTAACTCTTCTACTATGCATATACATTTTTCTCACAGGCTCATTTTAAAAACAACTATACTTTTTTTAAAAAAGAATTCCATAACTTACCATTCCAAAGAGCAGGCATTTGGTTCGGTTTTGATTCTCTCCCTTCAGAAATCTTATTTGCCAGACAACTAACAACATACTGTGTGGAAGGCATGTTGCTCTGAAAAAGCCCCTCCTACACAACAGTGTGTGCCAAGTTGTGCCAAAGCTACTGTGTAAAGAGGTCTTTGTTACTCACAACCTTTCTAATGGACAAATTCCGACCATTAGAAGAAAAGGGCTCTGTTTGCAGCAAGAGGAGAAAGAGAAGTCTTGTTTGCAAAAATCCCAGTCCTGATTAAGCGTTACAGATACCATGTGACAGCTCCTTTAACCAGGCCCATGAACTCCATTTCCCACAGGGTCTGTTCCCGAATCCACCAGATGTTTAGTGCTGGCGCCACAGTCAATTCCTCTAGCCAGCCTGGTCAGGGTTTTAACACATGTAAACGACTGGTTGGTTAGAGAGCAAATAGGGCAAGGTACATACACCAACCAGAAAATCCTTACAAAAAGGCTCCAATGTGTTCCCAGTGAACCATTTAGTGGAAAGTTCGTACTGTAAAGTTTGTTACATCTTAATAGTGTATTCAAATCTAGCACTGAAGCTCAAAGCATGTTTACTTTGCTGTACGTAAATAACTGAAATAACTAGTTAATTTTGGTAGTCATTAAAAGACCTGAGGCATAGTAGCAAATTATAACCCATCAAAATATAAATTAGCACTAAAATGTCTGTTTAAAATGGTACTTACAGTTAAAAACACACAGCAACAAAATACATACACAGGTATCTTGGAGAAAAGAAGTAGGATTCAAGAGAGTCATCTTGAACAAATACAGGGACAAGTTTGGATTAGAATATATTCTCTCCAGGATACTGGAAGATTTCTTCTCATAACTTCCTCCCAGACAGCTGAGATTCAAAACAAGAAAAGCCTCCAAAATTGTCTGCTTCAAGTAGCAGGGAAATGTGTTTGCACAGGAATTCAGCTACTGATCTGCTTGGTTTACCATACTAGTGATAGAAAGGATTGCTAAAGCCTACAGATCTACTGTGTGTACGCAGGGCCGGATTTAGATGAAAAGAGGCCCTAGGTTATTCCACTTATGAGGCCCTTTCACCTATAGTGAAAGTGTAATTTTAATTTTGCTAACAATTTGAATGTAGGCCCCTCTTGATCTTGAGGCCCTAGGCTGAAGCCTAGTTAGCCTATAGGAAAATCCGGCCGTGTGTGTACGTGTCCTAATCCCTCGAAGCTCATTTTCTTAGATGGGCCTGTAAAGAGTTCCTGGATAATGCAAATAATCTGTTTGACTTGCATTAACCAGACTTGGGGACATGGTGGCTCAGTGGCTAAGACACTGAGCTTGTTGATCGAAAGGTTGGCAGTTCAGCGGTTCGAATCCCTAGTGCTGCATAACGGGGTGAACTCCCGTTACTTGTCCCAGCTTCTGCCAACCTAGCAGTTCAAAAGCACGTACAAAATGCAAGTAGAAAAATAGGGACCACCTTTGGTGGGAAGGTAACAGTGTTCCGTGCACCTTTGGCATTTAGTCATGCTGGCTACATGACCACGGAGACGTCTTTGGACAGCGCTGGCTCTTTGGCTTTGAAACGGAGATGAGCACCATCCCCTAGAGTCAGGAATGGCTAGCACATATGTGTGAGGGGAACCTTTACCTTTACCTTTAAGCAGATTTTTGTGGCCTGCCTGCCTTACACTAAGAGGAATTATACTGCAAAATAATTGGTGTATTACAAGCCATTACAGCAAGAGTCAATATGTACCATGAGTACAAGATAAAGGATGAGAGTCTCACAACAAAAATTATTTATTTAATGATCCCTAATACATAGCATGGAAAAATAGCATCTCCATTTATTTACACTGATAATGCTTTTAAATACATTTTTCATACAATGTTTACACAAGAATTCCATTGCAAGGAAAGTCTGTTTTGGGGGAAATAAACATTGTAATTTTTAAGCTTCAGGTGAGCTAGTATTGTCATCCTTGTGTTAGGAGTATTTCTGTAACCCCAAATAAAAGCAGAAGGCAATGTATCCAGCCTGGCCAGAATGAAGGGTCAACAAAATTTCAGGACTGTGATGGAAGAGGTACGAGGGTAGCTCATGTCCCTTTGAAAAGACCCCACGTCTTGCAAAACTGGGAAACACATAGAGAATAATTTGAAGATCAGTATCTCAGATACATTACTTAGAAATGCTTCTGTTTTCAAAGATACTTCCACAAGAGAGTTAGAGAATAAAGTTTTAAACCTTTTAAACCAGGTTGAAGAATCAATGGCAGGCATCAAATTCACTGGGAAACATGCTAGCATTAGCAATTGTTTAAAATGATAGTACCAGGCTCTAGCATCCACAAAGACCAAGCCTATATCTAAACAAAAAGCAGCATTTGTAATACATTATGGGACTGGAAGAGTACCTCTAATAAACTTAAGTTGAATGGTTTCAAGGATGCAAAGCTTTCTAAAAGTACAGACCTGGCCATTGTAGAAAAGCTGGGAGGCAACCTTGAATATAAAGCCGTTTTGGGGATATAATATTGTGAGTTCTCTCCAAATGGAAAACAAAACTCAAGAATTTTTTTTTTTATTAAAGAGTTTTACAAGACAAAAAAAACATTTTTACAAGAAAAACATAAACCATTTGCCATCTTTCCATATGTGGATTGTACAATCACATTTGCAAATTAACAACCTCTTTAGAAAAAAAAAAACCAGTTACGTAAACTCAAAGAGCCTCTCCAGATTCCTTACACATATTTTCCCTTCCCTCCTCCCCACTCCTCCCCCAACCCTCCCCCTGCCAGGACTTCCCAGAGCAAATATAGGATATAGCATCTAACAAACTTTTTATATATATATATATATTTATTTCTTTTGATTCATAGGTATAAATGTGCGATATTTTTGCAATCAGGGTTTTTTCCTATGTTGAAAGATGTTAAAATGGCCATGGTGGGATGAAATCTCTATTCATCACTTTCAGACCTGTCAGACATTTTATGTTGTTTCTTCTGTGACTTATGGGAGACTGGGATAGCACTATTTCGGCCTTTTTAGACCTCTTCAGCCAGACACACCCATATTTAGTGACTCTTCCCTCCCTCCTGCTTTTTTTTTTTTTTTTTTTTTAAGTCACAGAAGAAACAACATAAAATGTCTGACAGGTCTGAAAGTGATGAATAGAGATTTCATCCCACCATGGCCATTTTAACATCTTTCAACATAGGAAAAAACCCTGATTGCAAAAATATCGCGCATATATATATATATATATATATATATATATATATATATATATGTTTTCTGAGGTTTTCGCGGGTATTTGTATGTAGGTCTTTGGTTATTCGGGTTTTCTGCCGCGTAAAATTGGAGGTTTCTTGGCAACGTTTCGACGAAGTCTCATTCGTCATCTTCAGGCTGGTGTCTTCAGCTTCGTGCTTCTAGGAGCAATGTGTGTGATCGCACCTGTTTCTTCCTTTTAACTGCCAGTGGGGGTGTGAACTGAATGTGTCACAAGGAAACAGAATGCCTTTTCGATAACAAGACCAGAATGTATACAGGTAGTCCTTGACTTGCCACAGATCATTTAGTGACTATTCGAAGTTACAGCACTGAAAAAAGTGATTTATGACCGTTTTTCACACTGATGAGCATTTCAACATCCCCATGGTCACGTTTTTTACATTCGGATGTTTGGCAGCTGGTTCACTTTTTGCAACCTTCTAACAAGCAAAGTCAATGGAGAAGCCAGATTCACTTAACAGTTGTTTTACTAACCTCACAACTGCAGTGATTCACTTAACAACTGTGACAAGAAAGGTTGTAAAATGGGGCAAAACTCACTTAACAAATGTCTCACTTAGCAACAGAAATGTTGAGCTCAATTGTAGTTGTAAGAGGCCTACCTATATTCAACAGTTTTTTTTCATTCAAGTTCCTATGAAGCAAAATGTTATTTAAAAATGTTATTTTTCTGCACTTTTTTCTGCTTTTTTTTTTTTTTAATTTGATTTATATGCCGCCCTTCTCCGGAGACTCAGGGCGGCTTACAATGCATTAAGCTTTGTATTTTTAAGCATAGTAGTCAGACTCTTTATACTCCAATAAATCTGAAAGAGTCACATAAACATTTCCATTGTCCACGGTGACTCTGTGAGTCCTTTGTTTTACTCCTTTTGATTTCCACTTGGGTACTGCAGATGGTTCTTTGGGATTTATTGCTTGATACAATCCTTCACCTGTATTCAGAGTTATTTTATACTTATGAAAAGGACAAATAATGCATGGTTGTCCATTGATGTCCTAGAGACACAAGGTAAAAACAAAAATGTTTTTCATTACCTTATAAACATTAGAAATAGACACATATATTGTCTACCTACAAATTGTCTCTGATCATTTAGTTAATTGTATTTGCAATGTCCCCACCCTTTGATGCTTTCATTTATATGAAAGTATTGGTTACTGCATTAGCTATCATATTAAGTGGGTACTGTGTTTACCTACCTCTATTTCACCAAGATCTAAGGGACCTCCTGCATCTATTAAAAGATAAAAATATATTAGAGCTATTAGTTATGGTGGTTGTACCCTACTTCTAGTTTCAGAACTATTATAGCTCTGAGTACAAATGGCTGGGGAACATACAGAGGTGTGGGATACAGCATGCATTCCCTGCATATGAGCTTCCCAACCGCATCTTGCTATCCAAGAAAGATACAGGACTAAAGAATATGTGCATTAACCCAACAAGGGACTTGCTTTGTTCTCACTGAATGTAGTTACTTTAATAGCTATATTAAAGTATAGCCTCTACAAGCCTCAATACACATCATTTTTAAGTTCTTACGGTAACAGCGGCAATCCAGAGCATAAAAGTGTTCACCATGGTAGAAAATAACAACTTGTCTGTCGTGGACAATGGCTGTTTTTCTCTGGCGCTTTTTAATATCATCTTCTCTACCAACATAAATTGGACTAGACACTTCCTTCCTTTTAGATGGTTTGACCATACTGCTTTCATTAATATCCTGCAAGAAAAAGAATTACATTAAAAATTAACATGAAAATAAAAACAATTGACCTGAGGAGAAAATCCAACAGTGCACCATAAGAAATCTGCTCTCTTCTTCCTCATAAGGTTTTCCAGTTCTTGCTGAAAATCTTTTTGGAAGGTCTCCCGACATATTGTAGCAGATTTTGAGAAACCGTTTTGGGCTACAGGGAAGAACTGGAGAACTTTCCTATCTTTTGAGATGTTCCCTTGCAAAGTAAATTGAGTTGGATGCCATCATCAGTAAATTCACTTTAAAGCAGACCTGTAAACATGTGATCCACCAGTCCTTTTAGATGGAATCACAAGGGTGACCCAAGTTTCCTCCTCATGTGAAACCTGCAGAAAACAAAGGAATCAAGTCTTTGGCAGTCAGCCACACTGGTCAACTGTCTTTAGCTGAAAAGCAGAGATGGCCACAAATTCTGCAGATAAGATTTATATGTCCATAACAGAACCGAAAGAAAAGAAAATAAGCATTTTCTTTATTGAATTTATGAATTTCATTATTCATCCAAGAGTGGTGGTGATTTTAAAATTGTTTTAAGGTATCTCATTCTGATCCATCTGGTGAGTCCCTGAATGTAATTAACTTATTGAACCAGTTCAGTGCCAACATGCAGTCATCTAAAGAAGAGTTCTTGAAGGAAGTGAATATTCTGAATGTCTCCTTTGCGCCAAATGGGCAAAGTTAGCACAGAATCCACCTGGAATCAGTCCCCACTAACCAAAGATCTTCTGCCAGAAACTTTAACCTACACTCACCAGCACATATAACCCAGTTTCTATGAAACAGTGCTGCTAGGGTGCATCTCAAAAGGCAGAAAGAAACCAAAGTGCTTGCAAGGAAGAATGCTAGAGAAAGACAGGCTCAATGTAGCCAGATGGCTGTGGAACCAGACCAAATATAATGGGCATCAACTCAGAAAGAACAGGGTATTGATAGGCTACTGCATAAAGTTCTCCATCTGAGAGTAATTCAATGCTCTAACAATGTATTATTTACCATATGCTTTAAGTCTTGTTAGAAGATATGCGCCTAATCACAAGCATTGTTAAGAGGATACTGAAAGAATTACAACAGGCCCCATTAAAAATAAATTGTTGAAAACACTTTTTTTGTGTAATTCAGGAATGGGGCTTAGTCCATCCGTCAATAAATGCTAATCAACATTTGTGGCATTTGAAGCAAAAATAGGTTTATTAAGAAATATATCAAGATAAAGCTTCACTTGTCTAAATTACACGTTCAAGAGAGGGAAATAGACATAGTGGGTGTCTAGTTCTCTTTGTCTTTTAGTACAGAAACTCAATTAGCCAGATCAAGTCTGTTCTTAGATGGTAACTGACAGTTACCGGCAAAAAATAAACCTGCTGGACTATCTGACCATTTATTTTTTTTTTGCCAGCAAGAAAAGAATTTCTTTTGTGGCATCTGAATATGTGTAATGACATCTCTGCTCAAGCTCCATTGTATAATAATGTCACAACCCAAGTAAGTAGAGGAAGGGGCCCTGTGCACCAACGTTACTATGGAATGGAGTTTGCCATAACTTGTCCTGCTTTCCTGCAGATAATCCTAAAAGCTGTATTCCAAACCGAAAAAGATAAATTTGTAGGTGCCTGAGAGTCCTCTTAAATACTCCTCTATTTCAGTGAATCTACATTAAATCAATAGGGTTGTGTAATACAAGAGGTGATGGTTTGCAAATGATGTTACTTGAGTCAATTTAACAAAGCCAAACTGCATTATTGCTTTGTTATGCATGTGTGTAAAGCCTGTTCTTCAGAAAACACATCCTGCAGGAAAAAACTTCAAAAGTTGAAAAGGACTATTTTTTTCCCCAAACTAAAATTACAGTTATAAATTGGATGCAGTAGAAATACCTATGGACAAACACATGAAAGGGCTTACATTTTATTAGCAAACAGAAAAAGGGGGAAGCAGTGCCTTATCTGGCAAAGAAGAAACTGAACAGAAGCAGGAGTTAGCTAGAAAAATGAAGATTTCTATTAGAAAGAACAGACCAGGGTGGATTTGATTTAAATCAAGTCGATTTAAATCACGATTTAAATCATGATTTAAATCACTAGTAAAAAGGCTTGATTTAAATCGACTCAATTTAAATCATAATTTTTAAAGGGCAACTGTCATCTCTGTACTGTAGTGGCTCCTCCTTTGTCCTGCTGGTGACTCACCAACAGTCCCAATATTGCAGAATATACAGCCTCATGCTACATTTATTTATTTATTATTTATTTAGTAGTCCAATTTATATGCCGCCCTTCTCCATAGACTCAGGGCAGCTTACAATGCATTATAGCAATAGCCTGCATACTTTTTTGTATATACCTGTTTATTAGGGCTTTCGCCCCCCACAAGCGGTGTTGTTCTACACAAAGTTGGCTTATTGCCCCCACAATCCGGGTCCTCAATTTACCTACCTTGAAAGGACGGAAGGCTGAATTAACCTTGAGCCTGGTGAGATTCGAACTTGCACTAATTGCAGGCAGCTAGCACTTAACAGCACTTTAGTTCACTGTACCACTGAGGCTCTTGTAATAACTAAGCTCCATTTCATGCTGAATAAACTAAGTTATTAATGTATCTTAAATAGAAAACTATCTTTAGATATTTACTCCAAAACATTTTATTAAAATAAATTTGATAAAAATAAAAACAAATCCGATCTAAATTTTTAAAAATCCAATTTTAATTTTTTTTTAAAAAAAAATCATCGATTTTTATCCACCCTGGAACAAAGGACTGTAAGTAGTTTACGTATTTTGTTATACTAAATAAACAATACACATAGTCCTTAATTTACAACCACAATGGAACTTCAAAATTTGTTTCACTTAACGAGACATTTGTTAAGTGAGTTTTGCCCCATTTTACAGTATTTCTTGCCATAGTTGTTAAATGAATCATTGCAGTTGATAAGTTAGTTATCTGGTTGTTAAGTGAATCTAGCTTCCCCATTAACTTTGCTTGTCAAAAGGTCACAAAAGGGGATCACTTGACCTTGGGACACAGCAACGGTCATAAGTATGAACCCAGTTGCCAAGCATCTGAATTTGGATCACATGATCATAGGGATGCTTCCAAGGTCATAACTGTGAAAAATGGTCATAAATTACTTCTTTCAGTGTCATTGTAACTTTGAACGGTCACTAAATGAACTGTTGTAAGTCAAGGACTACCTGTACTATTTATATTTTATAAAAATGGCATTTTATAAAGAATTAACACTAGTCAATAAACCAATGTTTCTAAGACTTAATCCAAGTGAAGCGAACAGGGTTTTTACACAATAAGAGAACAATCGCAATAGCGTTTTCTTAATGTGAGCTTCAGCAAATAAAATACAATGCCACACACCAATTAGTCACACACAGTGGATTGGAACCTGATTATCCATATTAGTTGGTAAACAGACCAATAAATCACATTATAGATAACTGAGAGGATTGCAACTACAGGGAGCAGCAATCAGACTCTGCCAATGTCTAGAAAAAATCCTCTTTGATATTTAGCTTGCATTTACCAATCCTCATTCTTCCTGTGAGTCAGCCTTCCTACTGCCAAACAGCCTCTTAAAAAGAGAAACAAGCAAAATGGTATGTGATGTACTATGAAGGAACTGGCTGAAAGTAAAGCTACTGGCACAGCATTAACAGCTGCAGCAGGCTCAGAATACAAAGATGTGAAATCTAAGGGGAGGAAGTGGGGGAGAAAAAAGGAATCTTTAATAGCTGGCAGCTTCTCTGCTAGGGCCTTTGGGCTCTTTTATGATCCAGTGTTGTTCCAAACTAGCTCTCACCACGCTGCTATGGTTATGGAGAGTTATGAACTCTCCCTTTGATGATGGTTGTGGGTATGGAACGTTATTAACTCTCTCCATCAAATAGGCAATGGGCATTGTGTCAACTTCGAAACGGTTCAGGCCTGAGGCAGCCATCTTTCCGTTTCTCAGATTACCACACTGTGTGGGAGGGGGGGAAGTCTGGAATGTCAGCCCAGACGACAACAACCGACCACCTTGTGGGAACCAAGGTCATCTCAACAGATGCTGGCCAAAGACTGAGGGGAGTTGCCAAGGAGATGCCAGAACACCTAATTGGACAATGTGACCTGTGACCATGAGGGAGGGAATTATTTTTTCTTTAATTATACTGAAATCATGGGAAATATTTAGAAATGACGTACTCAATAAAACAGACCTTTGAGAAAGCTGAAAGTCTCAAGAGTGCCGAATGGTTTGGGTTCATTACTCAGAACCTTGACACATTGCTCACTTACACCTTCGTATGTTTATATCTGCGTTTTTAATGAATCTGCTACTTAATAGTTAAAAAAAAAAATCTATCCTGCTTTAAAATAAATAAATAAATAAATAAATAAATAAATAAATAAATAAATAAATAAATAAATAAAATCCTTATACATATCTTCTTGATAGATAGGTAGTCCTTGACAGTGGTGAAAAGTAAAATTTGTTACTACCGGTTCTGTGAGCGTGTCTTGGTGGGGGGGGGGGGGTAATATGACCAAGTGGGCGTGGCCAACTTTTTTTTTTTTACTTTTAAAACCATTTTCCATTGAAGAGGTTGTAAAAAAAATGCTTTTAAAAGCCTCTGACGATCCCAGCTGACTTGCCTGATCGGCAGAGGCTTTCTTTTTTCTTTTTTTTTTAAAGCCTCTGGCAATCCCAGCTGACTTGCCTGATCGGCAGAGGCTTTCTTTCTTTTTTTTAAAGCCTCTGATGATCCCAGCTGACTTGCCTGATCGGCAGAGGCTTTCTTTTTTTTAAAAAAGCCTCTGATGATCCCAACTGACTTGCCTGATCGGCAGAGGCTTTTTTTCCTTTTAAAAATATTTTTTCTATAACCTCTTCGGCCGAAAAGGTTGTAGAAAAAATGCTTTTAAAAGCCTCTGATGATCCCAACTGAGCCGCACAATCATCAGAGGCTTTTTTTTTTTACTTTTAAAAGCATTTTTTCAGCCGAAGAGGTTATAGAAAAAATGCTTTAAAAAAAAAAGCCTCTGATGATTGTGTGGCTCAGCTGGGCATGGGGGGAGGGGCAGGGATTTTTGCTACTGGTTCTCTGAACCACCCGCCTCCATCACTACCAGATCAGGCGATCCAGTCCAAACCGGGAGCATTTCACCCCTGGTCCTTGACTTATGACTGATCATTTAATGACTGTTTAAATCATGATGCCTCAGAAAGGGTACTTTAGGGCCCTTAAACCATGTTTGGCTGTTGTAAAACATCGCACCACCCCCACTGTGGTCACATGACTACATTTTGGGCACTTGGCAACTGGCTCGCATTTACAACCAGTTGCAGCATCTCACAGTTACGTGATTGTGATCTGCAATGTTTTTTTGCCGATTTTCAGATTTTTTTTCATTTAGGAAAATAGATTCACTGTACGCCTCATAATCTGCTTAATGACTGCCATAAAAATGCTTAAAAAACCAGGTCTGGTCTTGACTTATGACTGCAGCAATTTATGAACACAACGACTTATGAGCAAAATCAAGTTCAGGACTACCTGTACATCTATCCTGATAGTATTCCTTGCTTTAGATAATGGAAGTACAGGTAATCCTCAATTTACAACAATTCATTTAGTGCCTGTTCAAAGTTACAACGGCACTTTAAAAAGTGAGTTATAACCATTTTTCACACTTACGACCATTAGAGCATCCTTGTGGTCATGTGATCAAAATTCAGAAGCCTGGCAACTGACTCATAATTGACATTTGCAGTGTCCTGGGGTCATGTGATCATCTTTGGTGACCCTCTGACAAGTAAAGACAATAGAGAAGCCAGATTCACTTAACAAACGTGTTACTAATTTAACAACTACAGTGATTCACTTAACAACTCTGGCAAGAACAGTTGTAAAATAAGGTGTAACAACTGTCTCACTTAGCAACCAAAAACTGGGGCTCAAATGCGGTTTGTAGTTAAGGACTACTTGTACTTGCAATGTAATGTTGAAACCCCAGAATTTATTTTTTTTATTAGATTTTTATCCTGCCTTTGTTACTTTATAGGTAACTCAAGGCAGAAAACATACATAATACTCTCTTCCTCCTCCTATTTTTCCCAAAACCACAACCCTGCGAGGTGAGTTGGGCTGAGAGTGAGTGACTGGCCCAAAATCAGTCACTTTCATGCCTAGAACAGGACTAGCAGTCACAGACTCTTCACAATAAGGCAGATTTCTGATGTAGTCTCTTATTGAAGCTTGCATTATGGATGTTAGCATCAGGGGGCTTTCTCAAATTATAGAGATTGGCATAATTACCCTCCAGTTACCTTTTTATATTTGGGCAAAATATTGGAGAGTGTAGTAGTTTATCAACTCTAAGCAGTATTCTTCATCTTTTGATTTTTTTTTATTATTCAGTGTTTGAGTTCATTTTTAGGCAGAAATAGCCTTAATTTCCATGTTGGATGAATTACAGTAAAAGATAGTAGGAAAATGCTCACTTGGCACTGCAGTTTTCATTCTTATATAAGTGTTAGAGGTGTGTGTGAGAGAGAGGGGGGGAGTGGGAGAGGGAGAAGGGAGAGAGAGACACAGAGACACACAGAGAGAGAGAGAGAGAGGGAGAGAGGGAGGGAGGGAGGGAAAACAAGCATCTTTAACTCACTTTTAACTCCTGGCATTGTCTGGACTAATCCATGCAACTTTCTTGGCAACATCTTTGAAATGGTTTGCCATTGCCTTCTTCTTAGAGCTGAGAGAGAGTGACTGGCCTAAGGTCACCCAACCCATGTGGATTTAGTGTTTAAAGCAGACCTCAGTCTCCCAGCTTCTAATCCAGCACCTTTAACTACTAAATCAAATCGGCTCTCTGCTACTCATATGCCTGCTTGTAAAAGTGATAGATTGGCAAGATACTTTTCAGCATTGATTCGCTCCTAGTGGAATTGCTTCAGTTGATCTCTCTCAAACCTGGATCCAAATATTCATCTTGATTTATAAGTGAATTATAATTCTCTTGTTATACATGGCTGTTACTTTTTAATTTTATAATTACTTTTGTATTTATTTACGGCATACTGTCTTAAAAAGTACCTAAAAGGTACTTTATAAATATGCCACATTCAAAATAAAGCAGTGTGAGCTTACACATGCTACTATTTATTCAAAATAAACTCTCCTTCAAGTTTGACTCCTAGTTACCTAGGTAATGTATCTGTGCAGTTTTCTTGATGACAGTTTTGAAATAGCTTGCCACTCCCTTCTTTGGGGATTGCTTTCAACTTCCCAATCTGCAATTCTTTACAGGAATCCCATCTATATTAAATATGCTTTACTTCTGCTACTCACACTATTATTATTATTAAGTGCCTGAGCCAAATGTTGGCAACTGCCTGGACAAGAGCCTGCAGTTTTCTAAGCAATTTTAGAAGTGATTTGCCATTGCCTGCTTTCTAGGACTGAGAGAAAGTGACTGGGCCAAGGTTACCCAACTTCCTTTATACCTAAGGCAGGACAAGAACTCACATTCTCCTGGTTTCTAGCCTGATGCCTTAACCAAATTGGTTACCAAATTGGCTGTCAAAGCTCATTATTTTAGGTTTAAATTATAACTGGGTTGAATTGCAGATGTAGCTAGAAGTGGAGCTAGAAGAAACATTTCTTCGAATATGTAGTAACACTTCAATTCCTCTGTTCTCTAAATAGAAACAGTTGTGTAGCACATACATAGTTATTTATTTCCAGACTGTTAAATTACGATTCTATCAAGCACTGGAGTATGAAATCCGGGCTGCAAATATCTGGACAATTCAAACGAAGGGGAACCAAGGCTTTCTATTCGGCTTAAGTTTGGCGTAGTGGTCGGAATGATTTTTGCAGCCCAGGAAGCGTAGATGTAATTGGATTTCAACTCAAAATACAGAAGTATCCCAAGATTTGGAGAATAGTAGTCTAAGGAAGGCTGACCGTGAGATGTCACACAGAGCTATTACTTAAAACTCCTGTGATGGGACCAAACACAGCAGGATATTTTTGTTGTATCCCCCTATCTCGGTCTGCCTCGCCACACGCGGCTTACTCCCATCACACGATCTTCGCCACCCGCAAGGGGGCGATCGATGCGGACGTTCTTGCCGCATCCAGCCTGACCTTATCCACGGTTGCAAAAGCACAACGCCCAGCCCAGCAGCCTTCGCGCTCCAGAAGACCACAACTCCCTGCAGGCGCTGCGTTCAGCCCTTTCCTCCTATTCGCTCTTCTCTTCCACGTGTTCTTCTTACGGGGAGGAGGAGAGAGAAAGAGAGAGAGAGAAAAAGAGAAAAGACTTTTATTTAAAGGAAGACCAACCTGTTCCATTTCGCCCGTCGAAAGGGATGCCATTCAAATCTGGCTGCGAGTCCTACGCTGCAAGATGATGTCCCTGACTTGGGTTGGTGCGTCACATCTGAATGTTACTGGCGCTATAAGCGTCACGTGATAAAACCTCGCCTGCTGATTAGTGTTTCTTTATGCCCTGTTTTTCTTCGTAGAAAATTTACACGAGTCTTTCTTCTTTGCAAATCCCCTAAATACTTTTTTTTCCTGCCTAGCCTGGTTTATTAAAGAAGCAAAAGCAGAAGCAAAATGGTGGGTTTTGGGGAAAATCCAGACAGAGGTCTGGGGTTGGCCAGATCGAGAGGAATAAGTGGGAGAAATGGTTAGGAAAAGCCTGGTACGAAGAAGAGACCCTGAAGCCCCATTTGTAAAAGTTAGAACAAGAGAAGTTTGGGGGGGCAGGTCAGCCTCATTCGATCCCGAAAAGGTTGAAGGATACGCAGTTTTTTTTTTTAAACACGGAAAAAAATACTGCGATCTTTATATTGGCCAAAGGTGGCCGTGTGTTCGGTTGAAACAAAATATTCTCTCTCCTCTCGAAGAACTTCTAGCATTTTTGAAGAACATGAAACAGTTTATTGCCGCATTTGGCTTTTACTTCCTATTCTGAATTTTATGTTCTTTCTCAATATCAATATCAAGTTGGCATACTTGGGACCATGTATTTTATCATAGCTGAGATTAGTATATAAACAAACTTGTCACATTTGTAATTCTATAATTATATGTTATTTAATTTAAAATAGAAACAGCAGCATAATGCGATAAGCAATATAGTACAAGTATAAAAAGTAATGTATGTTTGTTTAGGAAGCAGAGCTGATTATACAAATGCAGCTTTCCTTTCCAATTCAGAGAAGGTTCATTTTCAATTAAGCATTCTTGTCAGCAAGCCCAAGTTAAGCAACGCATGTAGAGCTTTAGTATCAGTATGTCAGATTTTATAATGTAGTATATCAATATGTCAGATTTACTCAGCAACATACCAGAGGTAGGTTTCAGCAGGTTCACCAGTTCTGCAGAACTGGTAGTAAAAATTCTGACTGGCCCCGCCCCCATCTATCCTCTGCCTCCCAAGTCCCAGGTGTTCTGGAGGAAATGGGAATTTTGCAGTAACCTTCCCCTGGATTTATTTTATTTATTATTCTATTTTATTTTATTTCTATACCGCCCTTCTCCTGCGGGACTCAGGGCGGTGTACAGCCAAGATAAAACATAGCATATAAAATTTAAAAAACAATTTAAAAAACAAATAATTTTGGCCCAGTTTAAAACAACCCAATTAAAACCGAATTCAATTAAAAACTGAGAGGATGGGATCAAGCCAGCCCGGCTAGATGGAATAACTATGTTTTCAGGGCCCAACGAAAAGTCCGGAGGTCTGATATCGTGCGTATCTCAGGGGGCAGGTCATTCCAGAGGGCAGGTGCTGCCACAGAGAAAGCTCTCCCCCTGGGGGTCGCCAGCCGGCACTGTCTGGCCGACAGCACCCTGAGGAGGCCCTCTCTGTGCGAGCAAACCGGTCAGTGGGAGGCTATTGGCGGCAGAAGGCGGTCTCGATTGGGGAGGGAATGGAGATTTTACAGTATCCTTCCCCTGGAGTGGGGTGGGAATGGAGATTTTATAGTATCCTTCCCTTGCCATGCCCACCAAGCCACGCCCACCAAGCCATGCTACGCCCATAGAACTGGTAGTAAAAAAATTTGAATCCCACCCTGCAACATATTCATTTCTTTATTCTGTTTTGGATATGTAGTTAGAATGCAAAGTGTAAAAAGAATAAAAAAGAATAAAAGAATAAAAAAGCCTAAAAAATTAAGAGTTAAAAATGAAAGATAAAAGAAGAAAAATAAATGCAGCACAAGCTAGTTTACATCTACATATTTAGTATATTGTTTCCCTCCATAGATTTCTGTCCTTACAAACCATACTCATTTCCCTATACCATTTTATGAATTGTTTCTGTTTTCTAAACTTAACACTTATTGATGATCTCATCAATTCCATTTTATTGCAACTTTTTTCAGTCTAACCACTTTTTGTATACTAGTTTTGCAATTTGTTCATCAGTAATTTCTGTATTGTCAAACCAGCTCTAAGTACTTCTTTTGAATCAGTCACTCACTATTGTATTCAGTCACTTTCATTAATCACCCATTTGTTGTTGGCCTCATTTCTTCTGGTTTTACCACACATACTTAAGTACCATATTTCCGTTCCATTTATTTTGTTTTTATTGACATACTTAACTGTCACACCATATAGCAAAGTCAACAAATGATTTGACAGAAAATTGTTCTTCATTTTTTGTAACAAGCATAACATGTAACAACCCTACCAGCATTTGCACATCTTAAAAAGTCTTGCAATTTTTCCCTTTTATCCTGTCAAACACAGCTACTTTTATCTTTAATGTTTGTTTTCCTCTTCATTCTTGTTTTTGCATCATACATTTTATTTAATAAATCATTTGGATTCTTAGCCAATCACAATCACATTCAGACCCCCACAAACTGTCTTCTAAAGTCACCATAATTTTCATAATTTTTATTTGTATTTTGCCTTTTATTATTTTTACAAATAACTCAAGGCAGCCAACATAGCCAATGCACCTTCTGCTTCCTATTTTCCCCACAACAACCTGTGATGTGGGTTGGGCTGAGAGAGACTGGTCCAAAGTCATTATGCATTATATTTATGTAATCAAATAAAGAGCAATATATATACACTCAATGTTGAGCCATCATTTACTAAACATCCCATTTATTCCTCAAACATGCTTTTCTTCCATCATATATTGTTCTTACCACATTCAGCAGCCAATCTTTCACCCCATATTTTGCAAAACATTCAAGGCTATTCACTTTATCTTATACTTCCTCTAAATCAAAAAATATACAATAAATAGATTCAAAATATAGTTACTAAATATAATTTTATTTAATTTGTTAAATTATGTAGCAAATCCTATTTGATTTCATTTTTAAATTTGAATCTAACCCAGATTCAAACTTAAAAATTTAAGGATTGAATGCTTAATCAGTGTTTTGTCCCTATGTTATTTATTTTATTTATTTATTTATTAAATTTATATGCTGCCCCTCTCCGGAGACTCAGGGCGGCTCACAATACATTTAAAAAAAAAACAATTCTAAAAACATTTAAAAGATTAAAAAACATTAAAAACCTTAGAACGCATTCACACCATTCATGGCCGGATCTCACCAGATCGCAAAGTGAGATCAACGGCCCCAGGCCTGCCGGAAAAGCCAGGTCTTCACAGCTTTTCAGGAGGCCAGTAGGGTGGGGATGGTCCGGACCTCTCTGGAACCCGGAACTGCTTCCAGAGAGCTGGGGCAGCCACAGAGAAGGCCCTCCTGCGCGGGCCCGCCAGCCGGCATTGTTTAGCTGACGGGACCCGGAGGAGACCAACTCTGTGGGATCTTGCCAGTCGCTGGGAGCTATGCGGTAGAAGGCGGTCTCGAAGATAACCTGGCCCTGAGCCATGTAGGGCTTTAAAGGTAATAACCAACACCTTGAATTGTGCTCGGAGACCAATAGGGAGCCAGTGGTGTAATGTGGATGTATCTAGGTGCACCCACAACAGCTCGCATGGCTGCATTCTGGACCAGCTGCAGTCTCCAAACACTTTTCAAGGGTAGCCCCATGTAAAGCGCGTTGCAATAATCTAACCGTGAGGTGATAAGGGCATGAGTGACTATGAGGAGCGCCTCCTGATCCAAGTAGGGTCGCAATTGGTGTACCAGGCGAACCTGTGCAAAGGTCCCCCTAGCCACAGCTGTCAGATGTTGCTCTAATCTTAGCTGTGAGTCTAGGAGGACACCCAAATTGTAAGCCCATTCTGAGGGGGACAATTCCCCCCCCCAGAACCAAGGATGGACAAGCAACATAGTCTTTAGGAGGCAATACCCACAGCCACTCAATCTTGTCTGGGTTAAGTCTGAGCCTGTTGACTCCCATCCAGACTCCCACCCACACAGCCTCCAGGCATCGGCACATCACATCCACTGCATCACTGAATTGACACGGGGTAGAGATATACAGCTGGGTATCATCAACATATTGCTGATATCTTACCCCGTATCGTCAGATTTTGCTCTACCCCCACCCCAAGTCATATATCAAATGAGCTAAATTGCTCTAAATCCAAGGAATATTTCATTTAAACAAAACTTCCTAAAATTTCTAAACTGATTTATTATTGGGTTATGTTTCTTAATATAATAAAACCTGGGGTCACTTTTAAAATATTTTCTGCTTATTTTGTCTTTCATTTAATGAGGGCATACTTGTAGGAAAGTTAAAAGTATAGGAAATCTTTGATTTGGGATGAAAATATAAGTGAATTAATATTGTAGTATTATTCTATAGCTTACCTTCTTTCTCTCTCTGTCATTATTTATTTATCCCCAAAGCTCTTGGTGCTTTACAAAAAAAAGACATAAGAAACAACACATACATAATAAACCAAGGAGAAAAGTAAGAGGTGCAGAGACACTAGTGAAAGCCTACAATTAAATTACAGTAACTAAACAATAAAGAATAATCAAGCCAAGACAAAATTATGGCAAAAATGGCCTCCCGTCAATTTTTCAGCAGCTTTTGCAAGGACTGGACAGGTACTGAAAAGCAGTACTCGCAAACTTTTCCTTCCCTCCCCCCCAACATTCTGAAATAGTATCCTGCTATTAGATTTCTGGTTACATTGAACCATCCAGGCTAATCCCACTGGGAGAATATGGACTAGCAGATCACAGTCATATTCTGAATAGCTAGAAAACATTACTCTGGTTCTATTCCAGCTTTTCAGGTGGATTTGAATAGTGTTTGTCTAGAGTAAACTACCAGTTCTTTGCCATTAAAATACATACTTGCCATTAAAATACACACATGCTTCTCAATGGGATACAATTTTTATTTCATACTACAAAGACAATAGGGCCATTATGAGTTGATTGAAACTTGGAAACAGGTTCTTTATCAATTATGGATAGAAAGATGGCTTTGACTGACATAAAAGGGCCATAGAATTCTTTAATCTTGTCATTTTTATTAAATGGAATACTAGGACAACCAACTTACCTTTTTGTGCTTTTATTCTACTCACTGATTCCAGACTGGCATCACAACCATGCACCACTATGTAACCCAATTAAAGGCTCAGTAGACCAGTCACCCTTACTAATGCTCTTTTTCAGCCTCCTCTAAAAACTGAACAAGAGAAAGAAGTAGCAGCAACCATCTTTTTATTTCCCTTTTCTGGCAATTGCTGGTGAAGACTGTTTCCAGATGCGCAAATGGTCAATGGAGGTAATAATGTGGTAGACCTACAAAACTGGGAGTCAATATTGCTAGTAAACTTGTCTAACATTATACATAAAAATTGCCATGTTCAGCTATCACCAGAAACAATGAAATTCCTTTAAAAATCATTACTGTTTAGACTTCTTTTAAAAGACATCAAAGTAATAGCAACATTTAAACACACAAAATGAATATTTCATAAGAACACACAAAAAATATGACATATTTGAAGCCTGACATATTTATTTCCTCAAGAAAACATTTTATAGTTTTGGTGTGCCTGAGTTTTCCTCTTTTTACAAAGCTGATAGACAAAAATGAGATGGAATCTGGAGAAATAAAAAAAGGAATTCATACGAGCTATTTAATAAAAAATACTTCTCACAATAGAAGTATCACTACATTCCAAATGTCTCTGGGCAATTAACAAACATAAAATACAAAATGCAACCAAAATTCTAACCCACAAGCAATAAATAATCATAAAATGGTGTCAAAATATTATCAGCCATTGAGGTTCCTATAAAATAAAATATATACTTCCTAAAAGCCAAACCATTGGTAGGTTTTGAATCTTTCATGGAAAACCATGGTAAAGGAATGAGGCCATGGCACTCAGCCATTTTCTTAAACCCTCAGAAAAGGGAAATCATAAGTTTCTTTTCTTGAAGAGTCAATTTTACTGGGAGGATGGAATCACAAATATATTTATATACGATTTATACTGATATTGTTTCCCGATTGCTTATTTGTATCCTATGACTATCATTAAGTGTTATACCTTATGATTCTTGATGAACGTATCTTTTCTTTTATGTACAGCAAGAGCATATGCACCAAGACAAATTCCTTGTGTGTCCAATCGCTCTTGGCCAATAAAAAAATCTATTCTATTCTATTCTATATGAGACCCAATTCTTAGAAGGTTACACCCCACTCCAAAAATAACCTGAACCAAACCAGTCTTGTTATGAAGATAAGATAGTTAGAAACTGTCCTACCTATCCAAGAATGGCTGCACTATAAACAGAAGAAAGAAATTCAAGAATTTCAGCCATAAATAGGATTTGTGTTTGATACATAGCAACCACTGGAACTCTTTTGTAACAGCTTCATTATCAGAGTGTTCACAGCCCTGGAACTTATTGTACCAATTTCTTGCCTAGCAGCTTACAGACATCCTGCATTCAAGCCAGACCAGGGCATATAAATTAAAACCAACAATGATCAAAGATTTGTGCTACTTGAGCCAACATCTTGAAATGTGTAATAGATTTTACTTTTACAAAGCTCAAGTTACATTAGCAGCTTACTCATATATGGTTGTTCAGAAGTAAATTTCATTCAGTTCAGCTGGGCTTATTTTAACAGGCTAGGATTTCAATATTTTCATCCAAAAGCTTAGGACCTGGTCAATGTGTGTTGTGTGTGTGCTATTGAAAAAAAATCTTAACTTGCTAATTTTTAAAAATCAAATTGTATCCCAGACAGCTATGGTTGTTGTTTTTTACCAATTGGTACTTTTCCCCCTCTGGTAAGCTTATGAAAACACATGTGATTCTGTTTTTAGTGAGGGCAGTTGCAAACCATCGACAGATTTCAATACAAATCAAATCACTAATAATAATAAAAAAAGATCCTCTTCAACAGGTTTCAGATGCACGGCCATATTTTGGCAGATACACCACCGAGCAAGCAAACAAGCATCGTGGAGTCTGTGGAGGAAAGGGGGAGGGAGGGTTGAGGGGATGATTTCATTCAGATGTGAAAGGCAGCTTCACAAAGTGTGCGGAGAAACCTGGTTCAGGTGGGTGTGAAAGACTGCGACTGGAGGTGGAGGGGGAGGGGGGGAGGAGGCTGACGGGTGGGCAGAGCACAGGCGCGAAGGCTCTTTCTCTCGTGTAGTGCCCACCCACGGTGAGTGCCAGGTGACAGGCAGAGCCCCTATATATGCTGCCGAGGTACGTCCGTCCACACACAACCCGCGCGGCTGCTTTCTAAGAGTAAAGTTTGTTCCCAGTTTTGGCGGCCAGAGGGAGCCATGGCTGATGCGCTCGAGCCAGACAGCCAAGCTCCGGGAGCCAACTTGTCCAGCCTTCAGCATCCCGCCTGGAACTTGAATCTTTCTTTGCCCTCTCGTTGGGCTTTGCCCGGACAGCCTGCGCAGACCATCGGGGCGGGCGCCATCATGCTGCTGGCGCTGGTGGGCAACTGCTTGTTGTTGTACCGACTCCGCTGCGGAAGGTGCTGCTGCGGAGGTCGGCTCAGGAGGCGGCGGAAGATGGATTTCCTCCTGGCGCACTTGGCCATCGCCGATCTCTACGGCTGCGGGCTGACGTTGCTCTCCCAGCTGCCTCCAGCAGAGGACGAGCGCGTTGCAGAGCCCGGAGGCGCGGGGTGGGCGGCCGGAGACGCCACCTGCCGCTTGCTCCGCTTTCTGCAAGGCTCGGGGTTGCTGGCGCCGTCGCACATGCTGGTTCTTATCGCGTTGGAGCGACAGCGCTTAGCCATGGGCCCTCCGCTCCCTCAGGAATCGCTGCCGCCTTTCGTGCTCGCCCGGAGCGCCCTGGCCGCGCTGGGCTGGCTCTTGGCGTTGCTGCTCGCCCTGCCTCAACTCTTCGTTTACAGGCTGGCCCCGTCGCAAGCCGGAGGCCGCTGCCTCAGCGTCTTCCCTCAGCTGCCTCGATGGCACGGACAGGTCTACGCCGTGTACGAAGCCATCACGGGCTTCGTAGTTCCCGCTTGCCTCTTGGTCAGGACGTGCAGCCGCATCGTCGCCACCCTCGGCACTTCTGGAGCCGAGGAGGAGGAGCCGTCGCAGGAGGGCCCCGGAGGTAGCGCCGGACCCTGTGGCCTTGAGCTGCCTGGCGTCACCGGCCCCAGCCCGCCGCTGCTTCTGCGGCTTCTGCCGATCTCCAAGTGCGCTTCTCGCTCGCCGTCGGCGCCCCGAAGCCTGCCCCGTGCCCGAATCAGGGCGCTGCAGCTGACTTTGGCGCTCGCCGCGCTCTTTGCGCTCTGCGGTTTCCCGCGTTTTATTTTGGAGCTGGCCTTAGCTTTTGCCTCTCCCGAGGCCGCCACCCACGAAGCCCGGACGACCCTGAGCAACATGATAGCAGCCACCAACAGCGCCGTCAATCCCTACGTGTGCCTCTTGTTCCACAGCTACCGGCCCTGGGCGCGGCGGCTCCAGCGCAGCCTCTGCCGGTGCCCCGATGGACAACCCAGACGGCAAGCTCGCCACCGGCAGCGACTGTCGCCCCGGGCGGCCGCGGATCGTGCTGAACTTTGGCTGTGCCCCTGCCAGACTAAGACGCCTGCCATCGCAACAGCCATCCCGCTAGAAAAGGAGGAGAGCCGGGCTGTTGGAGAGAGCGGATTCTAAGACCCGGAGCCGACTTCGAAAAAGGCTGCATTACGGTCCACGGAGAGCAGGTCAAAGGAAGGAGAAGGGAGCTTTGGACGATTAGGATGGCCTTAAGTCTGTTTGGGCTTTTGGCACAATGTGCTCCACTAATTTAAGAGTAAAATAAAAGATCCCAGCGTGTTTGCTTGCCTGCAGGTCATGTGTTCAAAGGCTTTACCCTGAAACAAATGGAGAAAGGAAAAAGACACTCTGCACTTGCTCAAGAGCCCACTTTGAGCTCTGCAGTTCTTTCCAATTGCCTATCTAGTTGTAAGAATTTAAGTCCATATAAAACTATATTACCACTGTAAATGAATTCTATTTTTACTGATCTGGCTCTTATCATAAGTGCTGATGTGGAATATCGGAATATCTCAACTGGGTATCTTCAGCCTGTCTGAGGTTTTGTTCATTTTACTATATTGTCAATGTTCAAAGCAAATGGGACTGTTCGCACTTTCAGTAATTTGCATCCAAGATCTGTTGGATATAACAAAAGTTTTTGTCTATACACAAGAGACTATAACACGTCGATGTAAGCTGTTTAATCTGTGGCTTTCACTAAATTCAAACATTTTTCCTTGTACTTTGTAATATTTATGGACGTACACAAACCAGAAACTGTTTGCTTGTTTTGTGCACACAACAAATACTTGGAAGGTTAGTCAGACAATTCTAGGTAGGTAATAGAGCAGCCATACAGAACACTATAGGACTTGTGGTTGTTTGACTTTTTGTCCAAAACTATGGAAGCATCTTACTGGCAAGAACAAAAGGTTGCTGCTTCTTGGCCTTGTCACCTTTTCTCTACACAATTTGTGGGCTAGCCCATCCACCAATCTCCCCGAAGTCTCCCCCCACCCATGCTGCTGTACTTCTGTCGGTCAGTCCCCTGATCATTTAATTTTCTCTTTTTCACTTAGCTCTTTCCAATTGTCTAGCATTTTCCTTGCTATCTCCCAACCCAGAATATTTCTGTCCCAAAAAGTATTCTGAGCTTGTGTTCAAATCAAACACACAGAAATCCAGTCCATGGTCAGACTAAGCAAATGTACGCCAATCTAGGCATAGACCATCAATACGGCATATACTAGTTTTATTTTTTAATATTTCCAGACAGAGGTAGAGAAACAAGAGGGTTACTTTTGCTGCTATGCAAAGAGATTGTATTATTAATGCCTTCCGTCATTTTGTCATATTCTACATATTAACTGCAAATGTCCAATATAAAATGAGACATAATTTATTATAATAAGAGTCCTTTCTGTTCATTTTAAACGGCTTTACTTAGATATTGACCTAGTATATATTATGAATCCCAGTAAAGGTTGCATTATTGATATGTGCGCATATGTAAACAATGACAAAAATCAACAGATATAAAATAAACTGCAGAAACTGAAAGCTTTCAATAATATTTTATAGAAATTCATCTCCCTTGCAATTAATTATTAGTAGTGTTACTTTATGTTTTGTTTATAAGCAACCAACATTGGCAATTGCAGATCGTGTAACAAAGTATTTTTATTTCTGAAAGCTAAGGTTGAAGGAAGGCTATAAGATTTAAGCAAACTTTCTTGGAAATATGTTTTCTTTGGCTTAGACTTACAGTCCTCTACATGACTATAAAGCAGTATCAAAAGGAGTTTATCCTAGTCATTTTTTAAAACAATTTGCTTCTGAATTGACTATAATATAGCAAGTTAATATTCTATTTATATCCCCCCTACCCCAAAGTTTTCCATAAGAGGTACTATACAACAAAACTTTTGTGCAGGTGCTCTTAACCAGACTTGTTCTCTATCCTTTCTGTTTTAACCACTCTTTATCAAATGGCATTAGAATGGCTGCAATGGTACATTAAAAATAGAAAAAACCAGAATATGTAAAATGGATAAAATCAAATCCAAGATCTGGAAACCTATTTGTACTGGAAATGTACCCCAGAAGGGTTACTAAGGTTGATTGAAATCAATCCCAAAGGTGCTTTTCAAACGGCAATTGAATGTTCTTGTTTTTTCCCCCCTTGAAAATGTTTCACTTCTCATCCAAGAAGCTTCTTCAGTTCTTCTTTTTCAGAGAACTGAAGAAGCTTCTTGAATGAGAGGCAAAACGTTTTTAAGGAAAAAACCTAAGAAAGTCCAGTTGCCTTTTGAAAAGCACCTTTGGGACAACGGCAACCTTGATTTGAATGATTGAGAATCTCCATAGACATTAAAATGAACCACTGATAACAAGTACAGATCAGGACAAAATCCAGCTTATTACCGTTGAAATCAGTGTCAACTACTTATTCAACTGTTCCTTTCAGAGGCAAAATTACACATTTTACTATAAGATAAAATTTTGGGAAGTTGAGAAGGGATGATGGCAGCTCAGAAAGATCAGAAATTATTTTTCTCATAACAGAAAATGAAATTTTTTGGAGTGGCTTTCTTTTCCTACTCGCTTTCCTTTCTTTTGGAAAGAGAGGACTCACTTGAGCAATGATTTTATTCCCCATGTTCAAATAATTATTAGACCCAATATCATGACCGCGTAAGCTAGAATTCAGATTTCCCCAGTCAACTAGCCTTAGAATCCCTATGATGGTATAATGAGTATCAGTGGACTTGTAGATATCTCCTTTGGGGTCTACCATGGTCCCAATTCCTCATTAATGTTAATTAATTTTTTTAAAGAAGTAAAAAGCTGTATTTTGCTATAAATGGAAGTGCTGTTTTCCAATATTTTCTTTCCAAGAATCCCATTGGGTGCTACATGGAGCTGATAAATATTTCCAGAACATAAACACTGCACCCGACTGCAGTTCAGTGTGTCACTTGGAAGCATTTTCCTTCCACCCATTAAATGGGATAAAAATAAGTTGTGGAGTGGGTAGATATTATTCAGAAAGGAAAGAAGGGCAGGAAGCATTCCCACCCATTTGCATGCTATAAATGAATATGTCTTGATTGGCTATTTCCCATACAGCAGTTGTTATGCGAAATGTGCATAAAATTTATTCTAAATTTCAAAAGTGTCCACCAGTGGCCCAGAAGGTCGACAATTTGTCTTACAGAGAACACCCCCCCCCGATGAAATTTATGGTCTAAAGGAGAAATACTATGGTTCAGGCCACCAAAAAAATCAAATACTAAAATTTGTGTGATATATACCGTATTTTCCGGCGTATAAGACGACTTTTTAACACATGAAAATCTTCTCAAAAGTCGGGGGTCGTCTTATACGCCGGGTGTCGTTCTCCTGTAACCAGGCAGACCAGCCCGAAAGGCTCTGACGAGCCTTAAATGGCTCTGGTGATCCAAGCTCTGACGATCTAAGCTCTGACGATCTGCTAATCAGGCAACTCAGCTGGGATCGCCAGAGCCATGGAGAAGGAAAAAAGTTTTCCCCCTCCAGCTTGCTTACCTTAGCTGCTAGTCACAACACTTGCCTTGCTTCACTTGCCTGAATCCATTCCATCAGCAAGCAACTCCCTGCCTGCAATCAAGCAGACAGGGAGTTGTGGACTTCAACTGCCAGAATTCTGGGAGTTGAAGTCTACAAGTCTTAAAGTTGCCAAGGTTGGAGACCTCTGTTCTATTGGGTAAGTTTTTTTTCCCCTTTGAGATCTTTAAAAAAAATAGTTAATTGGGTTTTTTTTTAGTTGTTCTTTTTTAGACCTAGCCATTTAAAGTTTAGGAAGTTTTAAATTTAGCTTTCATATAAAAATAAAAATAAAATAAAATAATATTTGTGCAGCTTTCTGAGATTTAGTGTGTTTTTGTAGTATTTCACTCTAACTACACAAACACACAAAATCTCACAAAGCTGTATGTGGAATTTTGTGTGTGTAAAGTGTGAAAGTTGTTTTTTGGGGGCTTTTTGTGGCTGTGTGAGGTTCCTGCTTGTTGCAGGGGCCATTTTGGGTCTAGCACAGCTGCTTTTACATTGTGGGTGAGCCTGTTTGTGTGTGTTGTGTTGTGTTGTGTGTGTGTGTAAAGTGTGAAAGTTGGTTTTTTTGTTTTGGGCTTTTTGTGGCTGTGTGAGGTGAAAGTTCCCTGCTTGTGAGGTTCAGGTGGGGCATTTTGGGTCTAGCACAGCTGCTTTTACATTGTGGGTGAGCCAGTTGATGTTTTTTAATTTTTATTTGGTGTGCATTGGAAGAGGGGTAGTCTTATACGGCGAGTATAGCCCAAACTCTATATTTTAACAGGAAAATTCGGGGGTCGTCTTATACACCCAGTCGTCTTATATGCCGGAAAATACGGTAATTTGCAGAAACAAAATATCAAGATGGGAAAAATCAAAGCGATAAATGTTGAAAGCCACTGAAACCTCTAGTAGACAATGGCTTAAAAGGAGACAAAACATTCTGAATATGAGCACTTTATTATGACAAAGTGGGAGAAGTATGAGGGGAGTGCTAATGCACTAAAAAGGTTTCTGACCAGGTCCTACATGGTTGTTTTTAATGGAATGATTTTTCCCCCTTAAAAATGACAAAAATCGTACAGTATAAGAAATTGCTCTTTAATAATTTCAGCCAACATTTTTTTTAAAAATTTGATTTATATGCCGCCCTTCTCCGGAGACTCAGGGCGGCTTACAATGCGTTAAGCAATAGCCTTCATACTTTTGTATATTTATACAAAATCAGCTTATTGCCCCCACAAACTGGTCCTCAATTTACCTATCTTAGAAAGGATGGAAGGCTGAGTCAACCTTGAGCCTGGGAGATTTGAACTTGCAGTAATTGCAAGCAGCTGATGTTAATCACAATGCTTTTAGTCTGCTGAGCCACCAGGCCCTGTATTTTGATAGTTCTAAACATGTCTGGGAAGCAGTTTTTCACAAGCTATCATTGCTCAATGGGTGGCCAAATGTTTTGATGCAACCTGCTACAGTGTTATGTACTTTTATCTTGGAAGACTTACTTATGAATCACTTAGATCATTTGTTCTCAAGTAGAGATAAAATGCTTAAAAAACAAGGGACAAGGAACAAGAAATTAGGCTTTGGCCTTTTCCACTGCTCCAAATCATATATGATTGAAAGGCTGTTCTTAGCATGCTATTTAGTCTAAAAGTCTAGTTTTGGCACAATATGCTTTGCAGAATGATGCCCTCATGTTTGCTGTTTGCAGAATGTGACTTTATAAATCCTGCTGTCCACTTAATTTGGCCTCTCTCAACTATTATACTGCAATAGACTGTAGAGCTGCTATGGGATTTCCCCTATTCTTAGCAAGCGGTCATATTCTCATCTCAGCAAGTCAGTAAAAGTATAAGGATTTGTTCACAAGATCATTTGAATTACCCTCTTGCCCCATGTCTTTTCTTTTAATGTGAGTCTGTTGTATTGTGAGCAGTGCTAGATTTTTTTAAATTAAAAATAATATGCATAAGATTAAACATTGATGCTACAAATATATTTTATTTAACTTTGGCATCCCCAGCGGCACTTCATAATTATGTCTCATAATCAAAACTATGAATCCCATTCGTTTTGTTCAACTATAGTTCACTTGATAATTGCACTATGAAGTTGGCTTATTTATCTAAATCAGCCTTTGGATAAATGTTATTGGACTGAAAATTTCCAACAGTCTCAGCAATTATAGCAAATAATGCCCCGGGGAGCCAAGGTTGAGCTATCCTCTTAAATCACAATTTAGACTTATCATACTTTATTTTACATTAGATATAGACTGCATTTATATCTCAAACTAAGCTATGCTTAATTCATGACTTATTGAATCAACATTCGACTGGATATATACAACACCCAAACCAAACCTTGTTTTGTTTGCATGTATGCATATACATAAGGAGTATTGAATAGCCCGAAGGCCTTTTCAAACAAAACAGAAAAGAAAAAGGGAAAAAGATAAAACAGTTACAAAAATAGCAATCTAAAAATATATGATAGCTGACATTAAAATTTTACCATATCAAATTTCAATAGCTAAGTTGCCAAGACTAGATAACCCAAATAGGATAGCTCCTCTCTAACTGAGCTCATCTTTCTTACAATCGATAAAATTTTCCTTGATATAACTGGCTTGTATTGCCGTCAACCTTTTAAGGTATCGAGTGATCGCTCTTACCAGGGGAGGAGAGTCAGCCCTCAACAGAAATGCTAATTTTTGGCTTATATTCCAGTGGGGAAATTTATTTATAATTGGGGACAGGTATGCATATACATATGCATATGTAATGAACTATCTGCAAGTAAACAACCAAACTCAGATGCCACCAAGGATTCACACTGTATAGCTGTTAGAGGCCACCATTTGGAGAACCTCAATCAAAAGTACATGGAATGTTTCTTATCTTCTGAGTGCTATATTGTATGAATAGAGAGGTAAGAACTGATAAGTTTGATTTTTTTTTTACATTAAAAAAGCCCTGAGGGCAATCAAAACATTGGGAAAATAATGGGAGCAAATGTCACAACATGCATGACCATGTGATTGTATAAATGCAACAACTGAAGTACTCTGTTAGATGTTGGAATACACTGATGTAATGGTGTCACCATTTGCCCAATCACACTTTTTTTTTTTTTTGATTTATATCCCGCCCTTCTCTGAAGACTCAGGACGGCTTACAATGCGTTAAGCAATAGCCTTCATACTTTTGTATATTTATACAAAATCAGCTTATTGCCCCCACAAACTGGTCCTCAATTTACCTATCTTAGAAAGGATGGAAGGCTGAGTCAACCTTGAGCCTGGTGAGATTTGAACTTGCAGTAATTGCAGGCAGCTGATGTTAATAACAGTGCTTTAGTCTGCTGCGCTACCAGGGCTCTTATTACTGCATATGTGGTGTCATTACCCTCTCTGCAACACAACTGATAGCAGCATCATGTTATCCATTATCAGGTTTTCTTCTTAAATTAGTTTTGAATCTGACTAATGCACCCTAATTAAGAAATTGGTTGGTAGGGTAAATTTATATAAGGCGATAGGGAGGCTGGGAATAGTGAACAATTTTGATTTTATGTTCCCTTTTACAGCAGCAAGATATAATTATTCAATACCATGTACAAATGTCTGAAATCTTACTAATTTATTCATTAATCCATGTGTCAATGGCATGTTGATATTTTTTGGGGTTCTTTTTCCAGCTCCAATGCCATCTGAGGTTAGCTATTGTATCTGAATAGTTCTGCCCTAAACTTTGCTTCCAGCTGATAAATTGTTGTTTATTATATTGTTCGACAGCGGTAGAAACTTTTGGATAGTTAATTATATGGCATAGCTTCTTGTTCAAAGATTGTGTGATTGCTGGAAACTTTGTGGCTACATCTGTTAGTTCATTTGGGTCAGTTGAAAGATCTACAACAAAGAAAAAATAGGTTAAGAGAAATTTACAATAAACATAAGCTTAATTTTAGAAAACTAGAATTGTGTAGTCTGATTCCAACTCAGTTAAGAAATTGAATCACTCCAATAACAATTAATGTTAATTAAATCGAGAAATCACTGCACTTTTGCAAGAAACATTTCATCTTTGCAATTCCTCCACCCGTTATGTTATCATACTAGAATGTAAGAAACATGCACACACTCTGCAGCAACTACAGAAGAAAAGTATGCCTCTGGAATTCAACAGCATCTTATATTGTTGGTGACATCTAAATCATAGGCTGCTCCATCTGTTATCTGAACAAACAGAGAAGGGGTACGTGCCTATGCTACCAGCAGTTTGAGAGAAGTCACTTGAAAAGAATTTTAAATTGTATGTCTCTGCACAGGTATTTTATTTGCAGAGAAAGGAAAAAAAAGCTATTCTCTTCCACTTTACACTCGGTCTGCAGTAAATGCAAGCCTTTATAATCATAACGGTCTCCTGAGTGGGAGTGGAGAGTGGATGGGGATGGGGGTGGGGAAGGAAAGTTCTCATTGAAACTTCTCTGGCATTTTACAGCCTCCCTTTGAAAGTAGAGATGGGATGGGCAAATAAGATCAAAGAGGAAGAACCCACTTTGATGCTCTCTTAGCAGGATGAATTAATTCTGTAAAGGGAGGCAATGAAGCTGAGGACTTGCAAAGCTGTGGAAAAAACTGAAGATTTTTTTTTTTTAATGATCGAATTGGTCCTCCCTTCGCGGAAGGGTTTTCTCCCAACAAAGGGAAAGTGTTGGGGATATAAAGACCTTTGAACCATTCCCATTAATGAATAATTTTATTAAGGAATCCCAAGTTACTTAAAAGCTTAGGGGCTGCATCCTAGGTTCCCTTGAAGGGGGCACATGTCTGCATGTAGACATTACTCATGAAACAGTAAAAGTAGAGTGCACACAAAATTAAATTAGTTTGCCAACCCTTGCTACTAGATTAAGCTAAGGTAGCAAGCTTGTGCAGGTCACAAGCCTATAGCTTTCTGTGGCTATAATTAATATAATTGTCAGGGCCAGCTCTGACCCTATGTAAATTATGCTCCAATTATGACCTTGTTTCCCCCCTCTCCCCAGGGTGTGTCATCAATCACATTCGCCAATAGAGCAATTTCATGGGTTGTAGAGGTCATTCCCCTTCGGCTGCTGTATGTAACCCTGGGATACAGCCTTGAGAGAGATAAGTGTGGAATGTGCATCTGTCTTTGGCTGCTGTGCCATTTTGCCGGTTTCCCATCCCCCCTGGCCTATGGCAATTCGAGAGCAGGCCAGGGATGCTTTGCAAGTTGACAATAATTTAAATAACCATAAATATAAAGTTATGCAGTTTTGTGACCTGCATAACTATAGCAAAAAGGGTTATTTGGCACCTCCATAGCTTGGACTGAGTGGAAGCAGCCTAGGACAGGAGTTTCTTCTCAGCCTAGACTGCAGTAGCACCAAGTGATTCTTGGAGGGGCAGGGCAGCGGCTTTGTGTCTTTTACCCAGGACAGCTGTCAGGAGATCTTTCTCAGCCATGAGGGCAACTGGCCTGCTCTGGACCCCAGAACCCCTAGCTCATGAATTAATATGAAATATTAATGAAGTAACATGAAATAATTAATGAAATAATTGCCTGCAAGCAATTATGGTGGGACTAAAAAATACTGCTTCAGATAGGAAGGCAGCACAGAGAGTGATGAGGATAGCAGAAAAGACCATTGATAGTTCACTTCCTTCTATCCAGGACTTAGCACATAAGTGATGCTTGAGCAGAGTCCGCAGGATTGTCTGGAACACTACACATCCTCTTCATCCTGTTTTCCTTGTTACCTTCTGGGAGGAGGCTTTGTGGTATCCAAAGCAGAACATCTAGATTCAGTCACAGTTTTGTTCCATATAGCATAAACCTTTTGAACTCTCAAGTTTCCTCTTTCCGCTATGCATTCAAAATGGGCAGTGATTAATATATATATGTATGGTGTAAATATATATTTATGTATGTATATAGCATGTATATATGTGTGTTATGTATTTGTTTGGGTAGATATGCACCTTCTCTTGAAAGCAGGCAACAGAATGTCATTTTTAATGTGGGCTGGTGTACTCGCAGTAAAAAATGACAAAGTTATCTTATCTTATCTACAAAGTAATAGAAAATGAAGAAGCTAAAGTGTTCTGGGACTTTAGAATTCAAACAGACAAGCACCAGACACACAATATCCCGACTTAACAATTGTTAATAAGAAGGACAAAAAAAGTTTGCCCAGTGAACGTTGCAATACCTTGGGACAGCAGAATAGAAAAGAAAGATCAGGAGAAAATCACAAAATATAAATGCCTGCAAACAGAAGTAGAATGGCTATGGCAAAAGAAAACAGAGATAGGACCAATAGTAATAGGTGCCTTGAGTGCAATTCCAAAATGTCTAGAGTACCACTTGAACAACATCAGATTTGACACTATCATTAATCAATTGCAAAAAGCAGCTTTGCTTGGAACAGCTTACATCCTGTGACAATATCTGTAACACCATTAAACATCCACATCTGCCTATCCCAGGCCCCTGGAAAAGACTCGATAGGTAGACAAAAATGCCAAATCCAGTCTGAACATCTGGTTGGCTGTGCAATAAAACCATAATAATAAATTATCAGATTGGGCACAGTTCAGCATGAGATTGAAACCCATATTTATAGATCCCAGGAGACCAGAATAGGTATTGGATGCTTTAAAGCACAGCTATCTTCTCTGTCTCCTGCTGTAGGTCATGTTTCTTGCATTCTTTGACTTACTGTTCTCTATTGTACTGTATGCTGAATTAAAACTACATGCTAATTCCATTGATATTCTTTCAGGCTTTTGTTTACAGGACCTTAAATTTTAATCAATATTCTTCACCCTAGTTGTGCATCACTCCTCTGTTCTTTTGCTGAATGGAACAAAGCGTAACACAGATGCATTATTTCACAGTTTGGGATCTTGTGCTAGTACAAGGCAAGGACTGTGTAGCTGAACCTGCGCAATATGGAAGTGAATCAGCTTATTTTGATCATTCAGATCACATCAGAGAATAAGAATGATATTTTCACCGAATGGTAAACCTACCAAACAACTGAGGAGATACGGAGTGGCCATCTGAATAAGCAATGTATTTCCACTTGTCAATTCGCAGCATGTAGGTTGAAGAATTCACATTGCAGCCATGAAACTCACTTAGAATCCAAGGAGGACGGAGCCCTCTAGATAGGGCTTTATAATCTCCTTTTTCTAATATCAAAGGCATCAGTGAATATCCACTGATGTTTTTGGGAATGGGGATACTTGCAATGTCTGAAAAAAAGTGTCAATTTGATAGAAAACAATTAGAAAGCTGAAATAAGAAACAAAATGTATAAAATTGAGGAGAAGGGAACAGAAATTATACCATTTCAACCACTTCAACTTTTTGCTCTTCTGGTAATATTACTGTGCCTCTTTTCTTTATGTCTATTCTATGTTCCAAATGGAAGTTAGCAGCACAGTTCTATACTTGGAGCGATAATCCATTATATTGAATAGAGCTATTCTCAATTTTCTGAGCATAGGACTGATGTTGAAATGTTGTTATATTTGATTGTCAGAAAAAATAAAGTCTATCAAGATCTCAGTTAAATTGACTTAATGAAATGCACCCCAAAAGTATTTCTTTATATGCACACAATTGTCTGCTGAGTTCATAATATGATCTTAACACTGATTCAAAAAAGGCATAATATTCAATTCCTATTATAGTTTGTTAATATGTTTTCAGAAGGTGGTTGCCAACATTGGTTTTTCTCACTGGTGTTAAATTTAATTAATTAAATGTACCCATGGATCAATATGTTAACGTTTCTGAGTGATTATTACTATTCAGGTTTAGAATAGGACACACACAATCTTTTATATTCCTTATTCATTAGTCTGCATAGAAGTCTGCAGTGATTTGTATCTGGACAACTGAGTAAGAAATCAGAATTTTTAAGATTATTTATAATCTTGTATGTGCTTCATGCAATGTCTAAGCTGAGCTTTTCTGTGTAACAATAGTAGGTCTTAAGCACCAAGCTAGAAAGCAGAATACTAGTTCCATTTTAGGCATGAAAGATGGTTTGGGTGACTTTGGGCCAGTGGTGAAATCCAAACTTTTTTACTACCAGTTCTGTGGGTGTGGCTTGATGGGCATGGTAGGGGAAGGATACTGCAAAATCCCCATTTCCTCCCCACTCTGCGGCCAGCCAGAGGTGGTATTTGCCGGTTCTCCGAGCTACTCAAAATTTCTGCTACTGGTTTTCCAGAACCTGTCAGAACCTGCTGGATTTCACCCCTGCTTTGGGCCAATCATTCTCTTAGCCCAAGTTACTTCACAGGGTTGTTGTTGAAGAGAAAAATAGGAGGAGAAAGGAGCATTAGGTCTGTTCGCCAATTCAAGTTATTTATAAAAGTAATAAAAGGAGGGTAAAACAAATAAATATATGTATGTGTGAATGAATGAATATATTCTACTGGTTGGAGAGTTGATTTACAAGACACATACTTTTTTGCCTCTGTCTCTCATACAAAAATTAGTTTGGCTCAACAGCTATTGTACTCATTTTAATATCCATTTGCAATTTTGAAAAATTCAGTTCAAGGAACATATTTGCTATAAAATTACTCAGAATTGAAGCTACATCAAAAACTCTTTTAGAGTGCTGGCACTAAACGCATTAGCATGATTATATATTTAAGGCTTGAACTGGACCTTACATGTGAAATAATATATTATAAAACAGTATGTATAGAGAACATATACTATATATTAGGGGAAATAATTTATGTTTTTAACAAACAGGATGGCTGAGAAGGTAACATTAATCATTTGTTTTATTACTCATCTAAATAAATTAAACCCTGTTGATTTGTGTTTTTATTTTTAACTTTTTGATTACAGGATAGAGCAATCAGGAGAACATATGGGAATGAACAGAACAGGAAGGACAGCAATTTAAAAATATAAACTTCAGAAAGATTGTGGAAAAAACACAGTTGGAACCAAAAATTGCTAACTAAATTGGAAGACTAAGGATTTGAAAAAGATATGGTTTATCTGATTAATAAAGCTCCTATAAGAATGTAGTTTTGAAAGGACTATTTTTTGCAGCATGAGGAAGCATTCTCAATTTTTGAACAATTTTTAAATCATTACTTTAAAAGTGTCAATTTATTGAGAAGGCCTAATCCTTATTCCAAATTACAGGTAAACTTTGGTTTACGACCACAACTGAGTTCAAAATTTCCATTGCTAAGCAATATGGTTGTTAAGTGAATTTTGCCCCATTTTATGACCTTTCTTACTATAGTTGTTAAGTGAATCCTGCACTTGTTAAGTTAGTAACTTGACGCTTAAGTGAATCTGGCTCTGTTCCCAACCCTATTGGTGGGGAACAACCAGAATCACCATTCAGGAAGCATTGTTCTTGCTTTTATTAATGTATATAGTGCCTTATTCCATGATACTTAAGGGAATGACATTAATCTCTAAAGATCACTTTAAGTCATACTCAAGGCTTGGAATGGTACAAACAGAAAACAAGGCAATTATAAGTCTGAAAGGCTTTATTAGTATATTAGATGTTTTGTATCTTCTACTAATAGTAAGGCAGAGCTAAGGGCTAATCATTTAGACAGTATGTAACAACTTGAAGATTTCAAAAAGAGCCTCCTTGTATAATATGCCAGTGTCACAAACTGCTAGCTTGAAGAATTTAGACGCAGGAATGTCCATCCTCCCTCAAAGCGTAAGGCAGTTCACAGGCTGAATTCCAAAGAATTCCACACTCAGTTCCCAGTTGAAAGTCAAGCTGAATTTCTAATCATAGTGCAAGGAGGAGGAGGAGGAAATCAGAAGGGATATCATAGGAAAACAAGTCAAGAAAGAAGAGAGTTGTTTCCAACCAGAGACAGGGATTTTCAAACATCAGAACTCATGGATGACCATTTAAACGTTTCTTAAGACCAGACACAAGGTATGGATAAAGCAAGGTGTCTTGCAAAGGACATTGTAGCAAGTTGCAAGACTTCATCCATAGCAGAACAGTGAGTATTCCAGTTTCTGAGACAACCGATTGTTCAATTGTTGTGGGAACTGGAGATGTGCCTCACTAGGAGGAAGAATATGAAGCAAGGTATTACAGAAACACAGGTCAGAAAACTGGTTATTTTTTTCTAATTGGGGAGGAGACCTAGAGCTCAGTCTTATATAGTGGGAGTTCATGTCGTTGCTTAATTAAAGAGGAGCTAGGCTTTCTTAATTTTCTTTCTTAAGGAAGTTAAGGCTTTCTTTTTTAACCTTAACCTATTTAGGGCTTGGCATTTTTTCTATGGATAGGCTCTGACACTTTACTAAAGCAATCAGTGGCCATTTGCACTCACTGAGACCTGAGACTCTCCCAAACAGTTGACAGCATTCTGACTGGCCCCACCCCCATCTATCCTCTGCCTCCCGAGTCCCAGCTGATAGGGAGGAAATGGGGATTTTGCAGTAACTTTCCCCTGGAGTGGGGTGGGAATGGAGATTTTACAGTATCCTTCCCCTGCCACGCCCACCAAGCCACACCCATAGAACTGGTAGTAAAAAAATTTGAAACCCACCACTGATATGAACCCCAGGTTGAGAATCTATTACATTTTCCTCTTTGCCCTTAGAATGACAGGAATCACAGGGCTCCATAGCATTTTAATCAATTGCCCCAGATAATGTCATTGAACCAAATATTGATATACTGTATATATTAACTTAGTTCCTTTTCATCATTTAATGTTACTAAATACTGCTAGCCAAGACAAAAACAAGTGAGATGTATGTACATTTATTCTTAGGCGATCCAGTTACTCTATAACTAGGAAGAGGTCCACCACCTGCCAAAAAGGAGAAACCTCTCTTGAGGAGATTGGTCAGAAAGCAACCAGAAAGACCAGTTAGTGCCATGTCTGTAGTAAGACCTACCAAGTGTCATATCGGTAGTAATGAGGGGCACTGGGTCAAATGAAAAGGCATGAAATGCTTTGAAATTTGGAAATAATATATAATAATATATCCTAAAACAATTTTGCCAATAAAAGCAATTGAAAAAGTACAAGTGAATATAGAGAAAGGCACTTTCTGATACACGGTTTTGTCAGTTTATATCATGTGAGCACCAACCACTGAAAGGGAATTAATTGGTAGAGTGTAGATAATTGCATTAAGGATAATTTTCCCTAAAATCCAAAAGATGTAGAAAAGTATATAGATTGTTATTTGAACTCTTCAAACTTGAATCTTTGGATTCTCAATTACCTTTCTTTCCCTTCACTGTCACTACATAGTTAACTTTGATTAATTGTTTAAGGTCTTGGCAATATCCTGATAACTTCATAATTCCTATCAACTAGGACTGTCTCCCAAAATTAATCCAGAAAGAACAGGCAGCCAACAGATGAAACAATGGCACCAAACAATACTAAAAAAGCAAACAATTCCATAAATATAAATTTTATTACTGTAGGATAAACGTTGCTTACCAAGCATGGTAGGATAAATATCCACAAGGGACACCATATTTGATATGGACTGCGACTTAATAGTTGGACCCATTATAAGGAAGGGAATATGGGAACTTGGTTCATACATGCTCATTTTATAAAACTGTCTGTGTTCCATTGCAAGTTCTCCATGATCCGCAGTAAATATTACATGAGTTCTTCCAAGCAGTCCTGTTTCATTTAGAGCAGAAAGTATCTCACCTGTAACACAAGACAAAGGAAAAACATGTTAAGATATTAATCAAATAGCACTGATGTTTGCAAACATTCTGAGGAATACTTCCTTGCTAATAAGAACATTTAGTGATAAGTGATCATGAAAGTTTCTCCCTGAAAGTTCTAAGTTTCTTTCAAAGCTTAACAATATCAAATGTAACTGATTTCCAAAACTCCATACTTGAAACACTATTTTTTAAATAGTGTTATATAAATAGTGTTATATAAATATAACCAGGTTATATTTTCCCCCTCAAATTTTACAAACTACATCAGAAAATTCAGCTTCTTTTAAACACAGTTTTATATCTGAGCTGTCAATTAAAACAAAGTGATTGATGTCTCAGAGCAGAGGTGGGATTCACTTACCTTCCCTACCGGTTCGTAAAAATGAGTGCACACGTCACCTCTGCGCATGCACACAGCCTTCTGTGCATGTGCAATAGTCACACATTACGTCCGGGCGGGTTGGCGGAGCCTCCCGCAGTTGCTGCTACTGGTTCATGCGATCTGGACAGAACCAGCTGAATACCACCACTGTTTCAGAGTAATTCTAAAGTCTTGGCCCATAATTATTATGTTGAGAGTAGATAATTAGTAAAAGCTAACATCATCACACCAATTTAAAAGCATATATTCTAATCAGTGGTGGGTTTCAAAAATTTTTACTACCGGTTCTGTGGGCGTGGCATGGTTTGGTGGGTGTGGCTTGGTGGGCATGGCAGGGGAAGGATACTGCAAAATCCCCATTTCCTCCCAATCAGCTGGGACTTGGGAGGCAGAGAATAGATGGGGGCTAGGCCAGTCAGAATTTTTACTATCGGTTCTCCGAACTACTCAAAATTTCTGCTACCAGTTCTCCAGAACTGGTCAGAACCTGCCCAAACCCACCTCTGATTCTAATTATAAGATTGCTTCAAAGTCGTAAGAGCAGATTATTATATTTTCTATCTAACACTTCATAGGGTTATGCTTTGCATCCTAATAATAAGTGTGTTTTTCAGTGTACATAAGTTCTTAAGGTATATTTTAGCTGGTTCAAATTAGCAATATAATATGCAGCCAAAGGACACCATTACAGGTGATAAGGAACCATCCTTAAATGTCCTCTGCAAATAGTATGAGCCTATGTAAATACTAAGAACCAGCTCCTGATGGCAGAGATGTTTTCCTTGACCCAAAGAAAGATCCTTATAGAGGGTGAACTGAAAGTATTCGAAAATATTAAAAATCTCCTTTGCTCTAAAGAACCAAAAAAAATCACAGATCTGAAATTGATAGGGGCTATGAATGGATATTCCCAGATAATAGTTTTGATACCATCTTGTAAAGGACTTGTTATAATGCTGACTATTTTAACATGGTTATATTGTATTCTTCATGAATCTATATAGGCAGATACCTAAATAAATAAAGAATAAAGGAAAATGTAATATAAAATATCTTCAAGTACATTTTTTCGGATGGAGGGGGAAAGCTTCCAAGAAGTAACAGTTCCAAAATTTCTGACAATGTACAAAAATTACATCACTAGGATCAGGATGATAAACAAGTATATGAACGTATATATTATGAAAGTAGTAACTTGGTATCACCTACCCAGCATGGCATCCGTTTCTGCACACATGGCATAATAATGTGCTCGAATGTTTCTGATTTCTTCCTGTGTAAATTGCCCACTGCAGTTCTTGGTATAAGTAGAATAATAATCAACTGGGTGCATTTCTGAAAATGGAGGCCATTTGGGAATCTTTATGGCATCATAAATCACCTAATAACAAAACAGAAATGTGCCGCATTTGATAAAATAGCTCTATTGTGCATTTGCAATTTGTTGGCAATTTTCAAGTAGGTGCCAAAAGTAAGCATGCTGATTGAAAATGAGACTACAAAGAAAATTTCTTTCCCTAGAATGGTAGTACACAAAAATGAAAAACTGGACTTTTTCTGAGAGGTCAGCTGCTGTCATTACTAGGACCCTGCAGAGCTACATCAATTTTTTATATGTAACATTTTTAATAGGAGAAGAGATGAAAAAAGTGATGGGACAGTTACAAAGAGAAAATAGAGTTCTTTGGACTTTCTTTTAAAATCTGTGAATGGGTAGGATAACAGTAAAAAATCCTCGTTTGAAACTGCTCCTGCAAACTTTAATTTAGTTATAAACCTAGATATGATAGGGGGGAGGGGTCACAACACAGTTTGATTGTTAATCTGTATTCTTAAAAATAACTTAGTTCAAAAATACTCTTTTTGAAATGTTACCCAATTACACATTTTTGTTACTCAAAAAAGTTACTAAGGACAGTTGTCCCTTCCTCTGAGACTTACTATCTATTTTGACAAAGGGGGAAAACAAACAAAGGAAACAAAAGCAGAAGCAAAAGAGGAATCCGGTGGTGAAATCCAAATTTTTTTATTACCGGTTCTGTGGGCGTGGCTTGGTGGGCCTGGTATGGCTTGGTGGGCGTGGCTTGGTGGACATGGCAGGGGAAGGATACTGCAAAATCTCCATTTCCACCCCACTCTGGGGCCAGCCAGACATGGTATTTGCTGGTTCTCCAAACAACTCAGAATTTCCGCTGCTGGTTCTCTGAACTGCTCAAAATTTCCGGTACTGGTTCTCCAGAACCTGTCAGAACCTGCTAGATTTCACCCCTGGAGGAATCATATTCATTCTGCTCAATAACACCTACTGAAACTTAACTGAAGAATAGTGTGAGGAATAGGAGCTCAAAGAATTGGCCAAAAGAAGGGCTTTGAGGGAGGTGTCTAGTCTGACACAGTAGTCCTCAATTGAGCCCAAGATTTATGTTGTTAAGTGACAAATTTGTTAAGTGAGTTTGCTCTATTTTACCACTATTCTCACCACATTTGTTAAGTGAATCATTGCCGTTCTTAAATTAGTAACATAATTAAGTGAATCTCATTTCCCCATTGACTTTACTTGTCAGAAATTGGGAAAAGGTGATCACATGACTCCAGGATGCTGCAACGGTCATAAGTGTGAAAAATGGCCATAAGTCACTTTTTGCAGCACCATTGTAACTTTGAACAGTTACACTAAACTGTTGTAAGTTGAGGACTACCTGAATTCAGTGGCCTGGAACATCAGTGCAAGAAGTCCTATAATCACTGCTGTATCACGGTTTGCATGTCCTTGAGAGACTCCCTCTTTTTTTTTCTGTCAGTGTCAAACTCTCAGAGATTGTAAACTGAATATTAAAATTTATTTTCAGAAGGCACTGCTGCTTTTAAAGAAGTTTTGAGGTAGGCCTTTTGAAACTTATTCTCATGTCATGTAAATGCTTATATATCTACCGGTATAATGCCTTTTCTGTCTGCAAAATGTAGCTTTCTTGCTTATTGCATCTCATGTATCTGAAAACAAACCACATGCTTCCAAGCTGAATCCAGCTAATATATTGCCTTAAAAACCATCTGCTTAGCAACACAGTGTACTATGAGAGCATCATGTTGATGCACTGCTCTAAGCTGAATCACCAAAGGAACAGAAAAAATGAATTCAGGCTAAGCTCTATTCCAGTCGAGATGGGAGAATTCCATAGTTCCATCAACCAGTGGAATAGCTTGCCTTCAGACTTTGTGGCTGTTGCATCACTGGAGGCTTTTAAGAACAGTCTGGACAGCCGCTTGTCTGGATTGGTGTAGGGTCTCCTGCTTGAGCAAGAGGTTGGACTAGAAGACTTCCAAGGTCCCTTCCAACTTTGTAATTCTGTTATTCTGTACTGTTATTCCACAGCTCAGCAGAATATTCAGCAGCATGTAGTCATACGCACCAATAGCAAATTGTGTTATAAAAAAAAAAAGACAAAGTCATTGTTTACATTTATATCATATGTGTACTGTCATGATGACAGTTGTACAGTTCTAACTCTGCTCAAGTTGCTGCAGTTAGACAGCCAAAACCTGGATCAATCATTTACACTGGAGGTGGCACCATAAATATATAAAAGTACTGTGTTTGTCACTAGGCAACCTCATAGACAGAAAACAAGATGTGGTACTGATTGATTCAGTAGGGTTCCAATATACTTAGATGAATCACTATAGCAGCTAAGAAAAAACAGCAATAACCTGGAGGAAGAAAATACTGTTCAAGAGGGGAAGGAATAAGCAAGTCATGGGAGTGGGGGAGACTTGGAGGAAAGATTACTTAGCCCTGAGACAAAGACGCTCAAAGTAACCCTGTCTTGATTTGTTTAGAATAGAAAGGGACAGAAAAAAAACTTGAATAGGCTTTCTGCTACTTTCTGAAGTAATCTAGATTGAAGTAACTGATTGAAGTACTGAATGAAGTCCATTATGGGTATGTACCCTTCCAAAATGATTATTAGAAATCCTTCTGAACACTGCATGAACATGCATCACTGAGCTTTCATTAAAGCAGTCTGGGTTTTTACAGTCTTCCAAAGGAGCTTGAAAAAGAGTTGTCACTACCTTAACAGTGATATAGAGTTGACCCAAAGTAGTGGCATGTTTTCTTATACTCATGCAGAAATCTGGAAAAGCTAGGCTGCTTGAATGAATAATAGAGAGCTCATACAAAATCCAAAGCATTTCTCCAAATCATTTTTGAACCTTGCACAGTCCTAACATGAACATACTTGTAGCGTAACAAACCTAGTTCTTCCCAATTTAAGAATGTTCAGAACTGAAAAATATTAGCAAAAACAGAGCTAAATTTACATTGTATACTGCCTGGGTTAAACATAAGAACAATACTACAGTATATGAAAATGCTGTAAGAGAAAAATAGTAACAATTATTTAATGGCTCAGTAAAATTCTGTCCTAACTATAAAAAAATAAATATGTTATGTGAGGATGCTTTTGTGGAGAAATTGTTTCATTACAGAGCCGCAGTGCCTTTCGGCAGCAGAAGCCATGGCAACGGGGCTAGAGAGTGTGGTTAGCCATTGTAAAACATCTGGGAATAATTCTTTTGGAATACAAATAAACAGGAGCTTTTGACTCCTCTTCATGAAAATAATAGCAGTAACTGGTTTTTATTCAAGAAAACAGCTGGATTTCTGCAGCATTAAAATAGAAAATGTAAGCCAGCAGAATTATGGCACATTTTCTGTCCTACCAGACAGCAATCACCATATAAAGCGAGGGCCTTACAGTTTCTCTAAGAAAGATCAATCTAAGAGTCAATATTGTAGCTAATTATACATAACAAGAAACAGATTGGCAATGCAAAATCTATACTAGTAAACATCATAATTGCTCAGTTTATAAAATGACATTATCACATGCAACTCAGACTAACTGTAGCAGCTAGTTTCATTCTTTTTCTTGTGGGAACATTGCCTAAGGGACTACAAGATCAGCAAACTTTTTCATTTCAAAGACTATATGGGCATCAATCACATTGCCAATTTAAATCCTGTAAGTCAAACACACACACACACAAATGCCCCCTTCAAAGAAAATGCTGTTACTACTATGCTTACATGATGTCTAACCATTCACAATCTATCAAATGTGGAACAACCATGTTTTCTTGTGAAGCGAAATGCATTGGCCACACTCACTCCCCTATCCTCCTCCTGTCTTCCACATTTTATCCCATTAGTGACTTTAGTGTGGAAGCTTTTTCCAGTCAGCAATTTTCTTCTACAGCTCTGTAACTTGTTGTACACAGTATATGATGGTGGGTGGATCCAGATTTAGATGCTTATAATAAGATTGTTACCATTTTTTCCCCTAATACTTCCTTCAGTCTCCTGATGCTGTTGTATTATTCAGCAGGTAACACTCACAGCAAACTATACTGCCATCACTGGTGATACTAGTGAAACAATTATGCCAAAATATGTTGCTAGAGAGATGAGCTACTTCCTACTTGACTTCCAATAATTTATCCCAGGTCATGTGCTGTCTTATAATCACCCCAGATCTTCATCTAGGCTAGCTAAGGGCTGACTTAGTTGGCAATGACATTGAATCTAACATTTTTGGAAAAAACACCAGATTATGGAAGGCTGATCTAGTAGCATAGTTAAAGTCCCTCAGCCAGAGAAGCTCACTGGATGACTTTGGGCTAGTTACTATTTCTCAGCCCAAACTACTTCACAGGATGTTTTTGTGGGGAAAACTTGGGAAGAGAGAGGGCTTTATGCTACTTTGAGCTCCTGAAGAAAAGGAGAGCTGTAAATCAATCAGTCAAAACAAATGAATAATAAATATTAGACTGAAGTTGATTTATGTACCAATAAAGAGTAAGCTGACAAAAGAATTCTTAAATCTTTTTTAGATGTACATATTTATGTATATACGTACCCTTTGTAGCCAATATGGAGATGTAAGAAATGTGGATGCCCCATAATTTTCTCCTGAGGATGGTGAAGGATATGGGTGAGGCAAATTTAGTCCGAGGTACAGAGCAAAGGGCTGTGATAGTTTAGTTGCCTCATTTTTTATCCAATTTGCTGCTTCTTCAGTAACCTTCCAATCTTTTTGCATGACTCTTATATATGTCTTGTTGCCTATGAGTTTAGCCACAGGTCTGCCTTCTTGCTGAAGCAAAAAATCAACATTTCTGGTCCAAGCCTCCACACGGTTACTGAAAATAAGAAGAGCTTTCAAGGTATGCTTTTGAATCATAATTGCTTGCAAATTACCCTTGATTATGATGCTTGTTTTATTGCTTGACTTGTTTTTATTAACTATTACTGCAGTTAAAAAGGTTAGGCTGCTAACCAAATTACACTCATTCTAAAGTTTTTACATTCCTATTTCTCTCACAGCAGCGATAGAAGCAGAAAATAAAGGTAAGAATGTATGAACCTGAAGCCAGCTGTGGTTCACAGAATCACAGAACTGTAGAATAGAAGAGATTACAAGGATTATCAAATTCAGCTTTCTGCAGCATTCAGGAAAACCAAGCATAGCAAGGTTCTTCCTTGTAACAGTAAATACAGGCCAATATATGCTGATTCAGCTCATTCAACATGCCAAAGTAGATTGTGTGAATTGAAATCACGGGACAGGCTGTGATTTTAGAGAAGTATTTAATCTAGCTATGGTTGCAGCTAGAATTAACCATGGCTTTGTTTCATTACTGACTTTAGTCAAATATCATCCAAACCTGACTAATGGCCAACAGAGACTTAAGCAATTATTAGTTTACATGGAAACAATATAAACTGGAAAAGTGACTGCAAAACAAAGCAATTTCTGAAGCAGATTCTTTTCTGTTCCTAAACTTTGTTTCATCCTGTACTTATATATGTAAATTTCCCATGCCCTCCCTGGCAAAAGGGCTAGTCAAAGTATTTAACTTCCCCATTATCCCTATTCTGGTTTTTTTAATCAAAAACTGAACAATCTCTACTCCATATAATGGTTTTCTAGTTACCACAAAAGTCATGTGACCTACATCTCTGCTAAAAAGTGTTTTACTGTATTTCATTACATCATTCAAACCAAAAAACCTTAAAAAGATTTCTGCCAGCTTCCTTAGTAGCAGCTTCCCACAGAATTCCTAAATATAGGAATTTGTGTGATTGGTTGTTATTCTATTTTTTAAAAAATATCTGGAGTTATCCTTTCTGGAACCGAAAGACATTTTCCTAGATTTATTTCTATTCTGCTTGATTTCAAAATGAAAGGGTTGCTTACAAAGCAATCATAACAACAGGGCAGGTTACGCAAAGGATACACAATATCCAAGGCCCTACAGCTTTACAGTAGTACAAGTTAAGGGAAAGGATTGGTGGTGGATTCCCCTGGTTTTGTTTCCCTTCGATCTGATAGCATCTGCCTACAGAGAAAACAACCATTAGTCACTCTCCCTAACATCCTTAACTTAGCAGGGCTAAGTGAGCGTAGACGGATGATTTGAATAGCAGCGTTATTAATTAACTAATTCTAAATCCATTTTGAGATTAATATCCATGTAATCATTGTTTTTTTTTTAAATGAACAATATCCAGCATTTTTATAGCCTGTTCAATACATCTTTTAAACATGTATAACAAACTACCAAAAGTAAGAAAAGAATAAAAAGAATAAAGTGTAGAAAATAAAAAAATAATTATAAAGAGTATATGAAAAGTATTTTCCCTCTTTATTACAAGTATAAATTTAGTAAGTTGTCACCATTTCTCAAAATGCAACAAAAACCTCTATTCTTTGCCTATCTCATTGCTTAACTATAAATAGAATCTAAACACCTTGTCATTCATTTATCAGCAAAAGTCCATTAAGAGATACCAGAAATAATTAAATATCTATCATAACTTTGATCAAATAAGCCAACTCTATATTCCTTCCCTGTACTTTTAACAATCTCTATTTTTAATCACTTCAAATAATTTTAGACCTTGATTTTTCATTATTTATGTCCCCTCTCAAATAATCCTTCAAGAACTTAATAGCTCTTTTGCACATCCAATAAGAAAAGGTTATACAAATCACTTTTTGTCTGTTACTTTATGTCCCTTTTAAATATTAAGACATCAGTCAGTTTCATTTGTATATCTAGTATATCATCTTTTTCCATATCATTCTTGTAACTTGTCATAATTAAACATATATTCAAATCAATTTCAGTTTTATCCAGTTTAACTTATTCTTTGTCTGTGACATCACTAATACACTTCTATGGTATCAGATATTATTAAAATTAATTTCTGATGCTAGAATTCAAAGATATCCTTAAAATATCCACTGTGAAGGTATTTTGCTCCATTCTTTGATAATGAGTCAAACTTATGTATTCTTTGCCTTTAATTGTAATATATTCTTCTAGTTCCCTCTAGTGTCCAACCTTCAAACTCCCTTCCTATTTGATTTTTTTCCAAATAACCCCCTCATCCAAAAAATTATGGGAACAATTTTTAAAATTAATTTCAAATTTTTATTCCAAGTCAATGTGGATTGTAAGCCCATTTTTAACTCTATATATTGTTTTGCTGTTTATTCCAAATACTAGAACTTTTTTTTTAAAGTTCTTAAAACTATATTAAAAATTCCTTTCTCTAAAGCTAAGGAAGAGACTTCCCCAGTGAATGCAATAAAAACTTGTAGTTCTGAAGGGTCTTAATATGTCCAAAGCAATAAAAAATAGATCCAAAGGTGATTAAGAAATGTGACTTGGTTAAGCTTTTTCCCAAGTGTTTTTTCCAAGGGTGTTAATATGTCCAAAGCAATAAAAAATAGATCCAAAGGTGATTAAGAAATGTGACTTGGTCAAGCTTTTTTCCAAGTGAATTATGAGCAGCTGGGAGTTGTGTGATATCATCAGAACTCAGTCATGGGACTCACCAGAAGTCAAATTTAAACACTGATTTTTACTTCCTTGAAATCCTCAAGAACTGCATATCAGGGGTGAAATCCAGCAGGTTCTGACAGGTTCTGGAAAACCGGCAGCGGAAATTTTGAGTAGTTCGGAGAACCGGTACTGGAAATTTTGAGTAGTTCAGAAAGCCGGAAAATACCATCTCTGGCTGGCCTCAGAGTGGGGTGGGAATGGAGATTTTGCAATATCCTTCCCCTAGGAGTGGGGAGGGAATGGGGATTTTGCAGTATCCTTTCCCTGGAGTGGTGTGGAAATGGAAATTTTGCAGTATCCTTCCCCGTGATACCTACCAAGCCACACCATACCAGGCCCACCAAGCCACGCCATTGGTAGTAAAAAAAATTAGATTTCACCACTGCTGCATATGGCTCTAAAGAAAAGTTTATGTTATGCTTTCATTATTTATACTAGTATTCCTACTACCACTGAGCAAATAGACATACCAGGCTGGATTCTATCAGGTAATAAAATCCCTCTGTATTAATTTTTGTATTATTAGGACTAACGTATTAGCTAGACAAGATTTGACATAAATACTACATAAAGTATGAAGTTGGACACCAATTACAACTTTGAAGAATGTGAAATCTGCAATGCTGAATTAGTACAAAATATATGAGAGGCATTTTCATACATATGGTACTTGCCTTCGTTCACTTCATTTTTCAGATATAAAGCACATTTTTAAAAGGAAGGATGTCTACTGGTAGTGCAACAGCACTAACAGAAGCAAACCTCTAATTCAAAATTTTGTTTAACTATAAAATAGAAATCATTTCATGAGGCTGGAGTAGAGAGGAAGAGTTCATCATAATAGTTAATTCATTTTAAGAATTTATCTGAAACCATTTTTACAGTGAGCCCTTGACTATGAGACACTTTGTTTTCATGCTAAAAAATAGAAGCACTGAAAAGCATTTAATCAATTAAAAGAGAAACAATAAAATGATTGAGATTTCAGCAATAAACCCGGAGATATATTTCATTCTTTACTCACCTTAATGAATGATGTCCAGAAGTATAATCTAGTTTTCCATATTTTTTGGTATAGTAGCCTTTCTTTTCCATAAGGTCCATCCATGTTGTATAATTTGGATCTAAGCCCTTGAAGTTGTTCCAGGACTCAGTTAAGTGAGTGAAAAGGCCACTCCACATAGCTAAAAAAATATTAATAAAACAATGTGTTTATACAACTGTCTTCTTCACTTGATACAATTTGGAAAGCAGCCCATAAGGCAAGGAATTGCCACTTCTATGGAACAATACTGTGCAAGCTCCAGGAGAACTCCTTTAGCAGTGGTGGTGAACTTTTTACTCACCGAGTGCCGAACAGGTATGTGCTTCATGCACTTGGGTGCCATCCTCGCTAATGTGCGGCTCCTCACCATGCGCTGCACATGCAACAGCACCATCTGCACATGCACACAGGTTTCGTGTGCTCACCCCCCATGCACTCTGCACACAATCGCACCATCTGCACATGTACACAGGTTTCACGCGGCTCCTCCCATGTGCTGCACGCACAATTGTACCAGCTGTACATGTGCGTGGTTTTCACCAGTACTCTTACGCATATGCACAAATGCGTGCATGCATGCACAGGAGAGCTCCAAAGATCAGCTGGGTCCCCTGAATTGCGTGCATGCGCACCGGAGGCCCGAACACCAGTTGGGCGCGCACACATGCACAGGTGCAGGTGAGTTGGGCGACAGCTCACGTGCCTGGGAAAATGGCTCTGCGTGCCACTTCCAGCACGTGTGCCATAGGTTCGCCATCACGGTCCTATAGCATGAAAATCCATCAAAATATTATCTCTCTGCTTTTTGAATGAAGGAATACATTTTCTCTGTAGGTCCTTTATTTTTGTTCTGCCATTTACTCAAATATTGCCCTTTTATGTATAATTTTACCTGCACGGGATGGACAGCAAATGGGAGAATTGGTGTAGGCATTAAGAAAGAGACTGCCTTGCCTCCTCATGAGATTTATAAAAGGCAAAACTACTGTTTCATTTTCTGGGGAAAACGTTAGCCTTCCATCCTGCAGGAAAAGGAAAAAAAATGACTGTGGGAATGCATTTGGAGATTAAGGAATATTACAAATCAGTGGCTAAAATGCACAATTTATATATTGTATTTATTTTGAAAATTAGATATAGATTTTAGATATGTTTTTAGGGAGAGAAGAGAGCAAGTTTTATGTAAGGGTTAGGGCACCAGGGCAGAAACTGGGAGATGGCGAGTTCTAGTTCTGGCATTAGGCACAAAGCCAGTCAGGTAATTTACTGTCATTCACTGTCTCTCAGCCCTAGGAAAGAATAGAATAGAATATAATTTTTTATTGGCCAAATGTGATTGGACACTCAAGGAATTTTTCTTGGTGCACATGCTCTCAGTGTACATAAAAGAAAAGATATGTTCATCAAGGATCAAAAGGTACAACACTTGATAGTCATAGGGTACAAATAAGCAATCAGGAAACAATATCAATATAAATCATAAGAGGCAATAGCAAATCACTTCTGAAATCTTGCCAAGAAAACTGCAGGGATTGATCCATGCAATTTCCAGAAATCAGTGCTGACTCAAAGGAACAATAAATTTACCACACCATCATTTAACCCTAACAGATGAAAAAATTAAGATTTCTTGCTAGAGTTACTTAAAATGATATTACAGAAAGAATTCTAATTGAGAATATATTCTGTCCTGCCTACCTCCTTTAGATATTGGAACTCAGAAATATCCTGTCCTTGTAGACTCAAGGGTCAACAGTTCTGATAATTTAATGCATCCAGTCACTCATTTGTTCGAGCTAAGAAAGACAAAGAAAAGGCAACTGGATTTTCTTGGATTTTTTAAAAAAATGTTTCATGGTGAAATGTTTTCAAAGAAAAAACCAAGAAAGTCCAGTTGTCTTTTGGAAAAAGCACCTTTGGATTAAACATGATGTGTTTAAAAGCTTTTGTCTTTCAGTGGGATTCCACAAGACCAATCTGACATGTGCTCAGGCAACTCATTTTTGCTAGGAACTTCATGGCTAAAAGCCTAATAGCCATGCCTATTTTTTTTTTCTAATGCTAATCACCTTCTCACCATTATTTAAAAACACAGAAAAACTTGCAAAATCTCTCTCAACCTATTATTTTATTAATTGTGTTGGTAGGCCCTCTAGTGTACACAAAGAACTGTTTGAAACGTTTGCACCACTTGTTTCTTCATTCTCACTATTCCTATGATTCCATTTGGGAGGGCAGTTGTCTTTCAAAGACATACTGTTGCTTTATGCAACTTTATTTGGAAGTACATTCCATTGGTTCAATTGGCAAATGTTCATAACATTGCATTTTACATAGTTAATTTACTCAAACTGTTTGGATAAAATCTAGCTACTGAGTTCACATTCAGTGCTAATGGTGCATTAGGTTTCTCCTTCAAATGGGAAGAGACAAAAAGGTGAAGCAGCCAAAGAGACATACAGTAAGCCAACTCTCCAGAATATGGGATTCCCTGGTGGGGAATTACATCTTCCGCCAATCAGATCCTACTATGGCCAAAGGAATTACACCAGTGGTGAAATACAATTTTTTTTACTACCGGTTCTGTGGGCGTGGCTTGGTGGGTGTGGCAGGGGAAGGATACTGCAAAATCTCCATTCTCACCCCACTCCAGGGGAAGGATACTGCAAAATTCCCATTCCCATCCCACTCCAGGGGAAGGATACTGGAAAATCCCCATTTCTACCCCACTCTGGGGCCAGCCAGAGGTGGTATTTGCCGGTTCTCCAAACCACTCAAAATTTCTGCTACCGGTTGTCCGAAGTGCTCAAAATTTCCGCTGTCGGTTCTCCAGAACCTGTCAGAACCTGCTGGATTTCACCCCTGAATTACACTCCCAAAATATCTGGAGGGCACCACACTGGGGAAGCCTTCAGTAGCTGAAAATGAGTCTTGGGTCATTGCCCCTTCTTTCCCTTCAAAGTCAGTAGGAAACAAAATTGTCTTAATGGTCTTTTAAAAGGAAACAAAATACTTACAAAAGAATCGCACATCACCAGCACAACATTAGGCTTTCCACAGGTACCACAGCTCTTGTTAGGATGAAGCAAAGGCCTCGCCTTTACGGGTTCCCAAGAAACAAATCGGACCAGCAGAAGCCACAAGCTAACTATTATATAGTTTGTAAAGCAGGCAGGGTTTCTCCCCCCTTTCCCCATTTCTTCCTTAAGATCAGAGCAAAGGCTCCAGCCCCTTCCTTTCAGAATTCCTTCTCGGGACTCATTTTCACTTCGCACAGCCAGGCAGACGATCCTCACTTGACTGAGCCCGCCGGATGATTCATTCCACAGCTGGGAAGCTCGTGATCTACAAATAACACCATTATGCCCGGAAAAAGACATCAAAACAGCTGCACTGGAAAAAACTACTACTCCCATGATACATATTGTGAAAATTTTGTTATTAAAGCCAATGCTTTTGGTAACTGAATGCTTTAAAGCGGTCTTCTCGTCCAAGGTTTGGAATGTGCAAAAAGCTCATCCTTTTTTACCATGCGAAAGGCGGGGGCAACGGGAAATTAAATAAATAAATAAATGAGGTGCGAACTACAGCGTAGTTATGCGGCAAAGGAAGATACAGTGTAAATACTGGACCACGGACCATTGTCTGTGAAGAGAGGAACTAGCCATAGGTTATAATAAAATTAGGAAATCAGAATACTTGTGCAGTAATGTCGTTCTGTCCTCGCTAGCTAATGATAGGATCCGATGCTTCGTGTAGAAAAGAAAATGAACTCAATCCTCAAGGTGAAATTTTGCAGCGTAATTTTTTCCCCTCCCCAAACGATAGCAATGCAATCCAGTACGTACGTTCCAGCAATAGCGTTAAAAAAGTCAGTAAAAGGAAAAGTGCATATTACACCCGGTAGTAAAAAGGAATGTGTAGCCCCCCCCTCCTCCCAATTACTTTAAGAAATGAAAAGTTCGAAGCTGTGTACAATAAGAGTAACTGCGTGGAATCTAATAGAAACGTCTCCGCCGGTGAACCACAACTCCCATCACCACCGCGAATGCTGAACCTCGCGTGGTTTGCCCTCTGACGTCAAGGGAAAAGGGAGAGGAGGTTGAAAAATAAATAAATAAAAACTCGGCGCGCCTGCGCAATTTTTTTTGGGGGGGGGGGAATTTGAGGGACCGATTCTCGGTGGCTGCTGGTACTAGTAGTTGTGTCTGGGCGCTGCGAAAGCCGGTGAGTGTGCCCGTTGTGCGGCCCTGGGCGAGGCTTTTTTTTTTGAGCCCTCGAGCGCGCTTCTTCTGCCCTGGTGCCTGGCTTCGGCTTCTTTGCAAAAGGAAACGCGATGAATGTGGCGCTTAAACCGATTTGCGATTTCGTTGGGGGAAAGCGCAACGATCGGGCTCGCCGCGCGGTTCTGAACGCCGCGTCCCACCCTCCCCCTCCTCCTCCTCCTCCTCCATGTGTCCGCGACTCCCTTTTGCTACGTGGCCTTTGGCCCGATCGTCTTAGGGTGGTTCCAGTCAAGGCTTCTTTTGCACCGGTGTGCCATGTCGCATCCCAAACATTTGGTGCAACGTCGCTTCCCGTTTATAATTCCCATGGCTTTCCCCATCGTTTTTCTTTTCCAAAGGGTCTATTAAAAAAGAACTTCATAAAGTATTTAACTGATAAAGACATTTATTGTGCAGCTGCCCTACCTGTTTATTGCCTATCGCAAGCAAAGCAGGACATTTCTGCAATAAAAACTTTGGAAGATCCCCGAAGAAGCATTCTGAATCCTCATTCTTGGTTATAAACTTTACATGTAGGATACATGTCATCGCATTTTCCTACCATAGTTGTTTTCCTGATAATTATTTTTAGGCTCACTGGAGACAGAGATATTCGTTTCCTTGTATATGTAATTGTGAAGGGTGTTATGGGAATTTTTAAAGTATAGGTATCGATGACAGCGATGATCTTAGTATATGTGATTATAGCTGTGCTAGCAAGTGTTGTGAAACAGATTTATAAATTCAGGTGATAGCAGCCTAAATGTTTGCTCACACAAGATTCAAAGAAATTTCTAATTCCCTTCATATCTGCACCCTGCTTGTAATTATGTTGCTTTACATTATAGGTTGCTTTTAACAAATAGTATAAAGTATTTTGAATACTCTGGCTGGAGGGTTCCCTCTGCAGACCATTAAAATAATACTTATAGAGATGGTCTTTGAGAGATCTCTGAAAGTGAAAGTCATGCTTTATTCAAAATGCTTAATTTGGCTAGGTTGAACTGAGAAGCAACATAGTTGTGGGGGAAAATAAGCAGGATGAAATAATGTTTTTTCTTTATTTTGCCTTTTTTGTCATTGAACTAAAAACACTTAAAATTTCTTTAATTGCCGTGAAAAGAAAATTATATTAGCCTAACATTCCAGAGATATGCATTCCACAAATTCTGCTAAATGAGGGATGAATGAAAAGGCATAGGCATCCAAAGCGGGCAGACATATGACAGAAGTACATATGTCACAATGCAAACTGTGGGATTTACTTACTATAGTTACATCTGACATTAGGATGCAAATACAAAAGGCCAGGGCTTAGGTTGTGTTATTGCAACAAAAGTTTCATTATTTTTTATGAACACCACAATTATTTTGGATTGTGGATCCTGTATGTACTTTTTAGAATCTACTTGTATTCTCTTATATATGCGACAGTATGTCTTTGTCAAACATGTTTCTTTTAACCTAACTACACTGCTGAGTAAAGTACTATATTATTTTACAAATATACATCAACTGTTTTCATATGTATCAGTAACTTTTGTACATTAATGTTACCTGTAGCCATGTCAAGCAAGGAAGTAAAAGCAGCATTGAAAAGTGCCAGAGATGCAATAAGAAATAAGGAGTATAAAGAAGCACTGAAACATTGCAAGGTAATCAATAGTCAAAAGTCATACGTTGTCTGCATTAAAATGTTACACTATGTTCATAGTACTGTAACCATCTCTAATGCCATTTCAGGGGTGTCTTCACTTGCATGGTTGTTCCTCTTTCTCTTTGCTGTGTATTCTTTTATACCATTTTCTGCAGCAGTACCTTTCTTATCCTATCCTTTGGGATTTGTTTTCCTTTTATAATTATATAAAACTTCCTGGTTCATCCCATTAAGCCAGAGTTTTATTTAAACTGCTTTGTTGAATTAAGCACAATCACTTTACATACTGCTATGGTTGGGTTCATACAACATATTAAGCCACAAGGAAGCATATGGCATTTCAGTATTGTTTAGCATCATTTGTGAATCAAACCACCGAGCCAGGTTGTTAGTTTGTTTAGTAATGTCTTCAGAGACTGGCACTGGCAGGCTGTTTTTTGTTGTTGTTGTTGTTTGTTTGTTTTTTAAAATTTGATTTATATGCCGCCCTTCTCCGGAGACTCAGGGCGTCTTACAATGTGTTAAGCATTGTTTAAGCATTGTTAAGTTTTTCCACCAGCACTTTTATATATAATGAAAATGCTGGAAATTGAGCCATCCAGAACATATTTCTTGCTATCAAGATTCTTGCACAATTTTAGAGGTTGTATAAATTAATCTGAATTTTTGGGTAAAAAATTCCCAAGTCTTTAAGACGATAAATCTGAATAAGACTTTTAAGCTGTTAAATCATTTAATAAATGTTTATCTGAATTGCAGTTTGATATTTTCATTTGAATTTCTGTTTAATAGGCAGTATTGAAACAAGAAAAAAATAATTACAATGCTTGGGTATTCATTGGCTTGGCGGCGGCTGAATTAGAACAACCCGAACAAGCTCAAGGTGCATATAAGAAGGCTGCTGAACTTGATCCGGGGCAGTTGCTGGCATGGCAGGTATATATGACATTAATCTCATTTTCCATACAAACATGCTTATATCAATGTCTGTTTATATGAAGAAGTTGTAGATCTTCAGAAAATCCAATAGTATTTTGGACTCAAAGGTAAGAAGCCTTATGTTGGATTCTTCCTGTTTGAATGTCACAAAATAGAACCCCCCTCCTCTTTTTTTTCCTTTGGTTAATAGCTCATTTGCACATGTGAAATATTATTTAAGCTGCTTTGTATGTCTTAGCATTATAAATTCTTCATTTTCAGCCCCCAGAATGGGTAGCAGAGCCTCAAAACAAAATACTCTGGGTTTTGGGTCAATGACAGTTTTTCATTCCTGTTGCAAAACAAATCATTAATGTTATATGAGAAACAGTTGGCAGTACCTTAAAAGATTATACGGGTCATCCTCAGTTTACATCCATTCATTCAGTGACTGTTCATAATTATGGCACTGAAAAAATGGATGTACAACAAGTCATCAAAGTTTCCACTTGGGAATGACCAATGAGGTCACATAATCATGATTGGGGCACTTCGGTGTCTGGCTCCTAATTACAATGTCATAAGGACCCAGAGTCACCTGATTGCCATTTGTGATTTTCCCTGCTGGCTTCCCACAAGCAAAATCAATGGGGAAATCATCAGAGGCATCACAAGTTGCTCTGGTAAGTCATTCCTGCTTTCCCTCTGGCCTGCAGCACTACTGTGTATGGGCAGCACCAGCCCTCCCAGACCCTCCCCCAACTTCATGCAATTTTTTTTGTGGCCTGTGCCAGTTCTCTCTTGGTTTTTCCCACAACCCACTGCACCCCTGCATTCCTTCCATGGAAATCCTCCCCTTCCTACTTAATGCTGTGTGTCTTTGGGTTATGATGGCAACCAGGAATGCCTAGGATTGCTGTTGCTAAATGATGCAGTCATGTGATATCACCAGTTATGACTGCAGTCACTTAGCAACAGCAATCCTAATCCCATTTACCATTGTGAATCAAAGGACTACCTTTGAGATTACAAGAGATGTAATCATATGTTCTCATCATGAATTGTTTTAATTCATTTTCTATTATTAAATACATTATGTTGGAAAGTATAATCCATAAAAGTTGATAATTGAAGTTGAAGCTATATATCACACATCAAGCATTTGCTTCCAAAGTGACGTTCTTCAATTTCACCCAGGGCTTAGCAAATTTGTATGAAAAAAGAAATCATACAGATGTCAAAGAAGACTGGATTAAGGTTTACGAAAAACTACTAGAACTCTATGAAAAGTAAGAAATAGTTGAAGATTTTTTTTTGTCAGCTGTCAATCTTCTGTCATGTGTATTTAAAACATTATTCTAAAAAAATGAGATTTCACCCACACATTCTTTAGATGTGACTGTTTCACCCCTTTTGTTAGTCTGTATGCATCTCTCTGTCCCGTCCCCCCTCTCTCTCGTTTTAAGAACATAGATGTTTTCAGCAGCAGAACTATAGTGAAGGATTGTTAGTAAGTTGTATATTCCTTCAGTTAGGAAAAACCTTCCTCTTCCCATTCTTCTTTTTTTCCTGAGAATTACCTTGGAAAGAGGCAGCAAACAGCCCTCATTGTATTAAGTTTTCATCTACTCCAAGTGGTGTTATTAATGCTAAGTTCTCATTCAGAATGACTGAGGAGAAGAATGAAAGAAAACAATGCTAAGGGATAAAGGGAGCAGGTTGTTGTAAAATTAAGGATGATCAAATAGCAGTGAATGGAAGCCATGTCTACTAGCTTGAGGAAGACAAAGATTACAAAGGATGGTGTGGATAATACTGGTGAAAAAAAAATAGCAGAAGCCCAATGGAAGATGGAGGAAAGATGACAGAAAGTAAATGTAAAAGAAAAAAGGTAAAGGAGTCTCTGTGGATTTTACTCCGCTAGTCATTATCGACTATAGGGGGTGGTGCTGATCTCCATTTCAAGGCCATTGAGCCAGTGCTGTTCGAAGACATTTCTATTTCACACAGCACTGTTATATTCCCACTGAAGTGGTACCTATTTATCTACTTTGCATGCTTTCAAACTGCTAGGTTGGCAGGAGCTGGGGCGAGGAGGGGAGCTCACCCCGTCACATAGTTCTCGGGTTTCGAACCTGGGCTGCTGGCTTTCCATCTGAAAAGCCCAGCATCTTAACCACTCAGTCACCACACTTCC